CATGGTGAAGAAGATGCTGGGCGCTTGAGAGGTCTCCTGGATTTTAATAATTCACTTTTGATTTTGTGTTCATGGAAAAGTGGTTTGCCATTTGACAAAAGACACCATGAAGTCATAGGTTTTACGCTTTAGAAAAACTACAGTACACATCATGTAATCGCTCATTACTGCACATAGTGGTGCACATTTGTTATTGTTTTAGAATGACGGTAAGTTTTGTTTTTGCCTAAATTATCATTATTATTATTGTTAATTATTCTCTGGTTGTTGTGGTTGCTGCTGTTGCTAGGTAAAGTTGTCGCCTTTGTGTTGATTTATTGTGAACTGAAAAGTGTGCAGTATTGGACTGACTTTTGAATTTGTGAATAAAGTACAAACTACACATGTTTCTAATCCTAAAATGTCTGTCTGTGCACACGTTGAAGCTTTTGACTTTTTTATTGATATTTTCAAAATACTACACAATGACTTTTTTTCCCCGACATATTATACAGGGGTTTTTTATAGAAAGATATAGTACGAGTACAATAGAGTGGTGCAGTGACAAGTCCTAAAACCCGGAAGTGAGTTTCACCACTTCCTGTTCCCTCGTCTCAGAGCCAATGGGATCTCTCCATAGGATTTTGGAAAATAGCTGGAAATAAGGTCTGTGGTTGAGACACTGAAGAAGAGACGGATCACGTTTTGTTCTACGACATTAAATCCATCAGCAGTGACCCCACTGGTGATTTCTGAAGAGTTGACGTGTCTGAAAAACGATGGTTGTTACCAAGTGGCTGAATAGGACTACAGAAGTTGTCGAGGACGTTGTACGTCATTACACCGAACACGTAAACACTCCCGCTAAGTTTGTTTGCCCTGTTCTGCTTGAGAGCAAGTACCTGCCTCCTGCAAACTGTTAAAACAAACGCTTCAACTCGTACCATTTTGAATCTGTATGTTTGAATATGGATCTTAAGTTGCCGTGACGTTGAAGTCGTGATGCTGTACTCGGCTGTAGTTCCTTTATAGCATAACGTTAGCATTTTGCTTCTGGCCATTAGATTTATGATTCGAAAATTATAAAAGTAGGGTAGACATGTGGAGATTATCCGGCTGAACAAAACGTGCATTTATCAAACAGGTTCGTTTTCCACAGATCTTATTTCCAGCTATTTTCCAAAGTCCTATGGAGAAATCCAGTTGCTTTTTTGTCGAGGGAACCAGCAGCTTCCTTCCGGGTCAATACGTCATCCCTGCTCCACTTTATACTGTGGCTCTGATATAAGATATATCATGACGCCGTATACAAGATGGCGCTGCGAACGTAAACAACGTGACGTCGGAGCTCCGTAAAAACAAAGCTTTCTCTGCCGTCTGACGCTCTATTTGACACCATTTTCATATTTTTGGAGTAATGGGTAACAGAAATATTTTTTTCTGGCATCACAATAACATTTTACGGGGAAAATCTACGTTTTGATATGAGGGCACATGCCGAGAGTAAGAAGGCCTATATTTTGTTGTTTTTAAAACCTCCAAACTATCCCTTTTCTCCTGAAGAACAACACAAACTGGACTCAAACAATAAGCAGTGCAAAACAAGCTAACCTTTTTATTTCAGTGATAATAAGTACCATTTCAGCTTCATTGTCGGGATTACTTTCAGTTTTAAGCAGTTTAGGAAACAACAGAGAAAATAAGTTCTTCGTCTCTTGTCCTCAAGACGTGACACCAGAAACCACCGAGAACATTCAATTAATCCACAAAGAAAAAACCCCAGAGCGGGATTTAACAAAAAATAACAAAAATCATAAAAATAATCCCAGTTTTTCAGTTTTAATACCTGAAGTGAAAATGGCAGATAAGACACTTCCTCTCCGCAGAGATTGATGTGATTATAATGAAATAAAAGCAGCCTTATACAGCGTGACAGCCCGAAAACCCCCCAGATCAAACAGTTTAATATTTATATGCTACAAATGCTAATTCTTCATGAGATTTTCTGAGGAAATTAAGGAAAAAAGTCCCTAAATTGACTGAAATGAGAGAGGAAGAGACTGAAACAAAAAGGTACAAAGTGTGAAAAGCATCCTTCCTCTTTACAAACAGGACCATGGCGTGAGCTGGGAATTTAAATTATAATATGAGTTACCTGTGTTCAGACAATTTTCTTATTTTCACCTCAAATTTAAATTTAAATACGGGTAAATCTGGTATTTTTTGTTTTCAGACGTTTTTGGAAATATCCTTTTTACACTCGCAGTACGTTTGTAGAAGTTTGATATGAAGCTACACCTAGCAGCTATTAGCTTAGCATAGCACAGAGTTATTAGCTTAGCACAAAGTAATTAGCTTAGTTTAGCACAACGTTTTTAGCTTAGCATAAAGTTGAAATAGCTAATCCTGTTTAAAACGATTAGTTGATCGACACAAAAAAGAAAAATATTCTGTAATTATTTAATGCAGAAATGTTTTGAATGCTTCCCTTAAGTTACTAAATCCAGAGCTTTTCTCTGATATCATATTGAAGTGAATATCTTTGGCTTTTTTTACTGATAAAACAAGACATTTAAAGATATCACCTTTTAATTTGAGAACTAGGATGGACACTTTTTTTGAATTTCTGACATTTTGTACACATTTTGTACCAAAACTGAAATGTTAAAACAAGATATTGCTGGTAGGTTACATCCCGGACTGTTTCTTTGTTGTCTCACTCCAGAGTTTTTTTTTTTTATCAACCAGGAAGTAGTCTGGTCCGTAACCCTCCCAAAACAACATTTTTGACATTTCCAATTGTATACAGGTTATACAGTTATATAAGATATTACGTGATGACTCAAGGCCTTAAAAAGGGAAGATTTAACTCAAAAATAAATTGAATTTTATGGAACTAGATAGCTTGTGGTGCTCCAGGCGCCAAAAAAGTACATTCGAAAAAGTGTACTGTATAAATAATAATATTTCCAATACATCAAATCACAAAAAAACAACAAACAAAGTTTTTTTTAAAACAGACTTTTCCCTGTTTCCAGTCTTTGTGCTAAGCTAAGTCGAGCTAACCGGCTTCCTTTCTGCAAGAAGCATACGTGTATTTCGAAAAAAATGTCAATTAATTGTTTTAAAATTCAACATTTTAAGTTTTGAACACCCATAATAGCAGGTGTTTCAATTAAATTCCCAGCTTACAAAACACATGTTGGCATCTAAAGCTCCTGGAGAGAAGAGGGAGAATCTTCATAAAGGCAGAGATGCATAGTAGTAATATCTATCTTTTAATCAACCTAATTTCTATTCTGAGACAATTAAACATGTGTGTGTTTGGCTCCTAAAGCAGATGGGTTTCAAAGAGAGAGAATGAACAGTAGAAGTCATCCATTTGGGATTGGATTTGATGCAAAACAGGGACGGGGGGAGAAAAAGCCAAACAGTGATTTACAAGGTGATCAAAAGTCCTTTGAAAAAAAGCCAAGACAATTAAGTTGAAGATCGGAAAAACAGTATTTACTATATTAATTAAACGAACAACGCTGAGGCAACAGATTCAAACTAAAATTGTTGGACAAAAAGGGCTTTGTGTATCAAGGACCATTCAGAATAATGTCAGCTGTGTTTATTAGAGAAGAAATATGTAATTGAGGAGAGTATTATCTTGGAAAGGGGTCTGAAGAACGTCAAAGTGGGAAACTTTAAGATACTTTTCATGAAATGACATGTTTTGTTTGAGGATTCAGATTGAAAGTGGACAAACTGTGAAGTAATTTGAACACGTTTCGTCCTAAACAAAAGGCAAAATGCATGGAAACAAATGAACAAACACCGTGAACAAGTAGTGCGGACAACAATAAAACCAGTAAAAACGAAGAGGTGTGTGTGTGTGTGTGTGTGTGTGTGTGTGTGTGTGTGTGTGTGTGTGTGTGTGTGTGTGTGTGTGTGTGTGTGTGTGTGGTGTGTGTGTGTGTGTGTGTGTGTGTTGAGGTTCTTTAACTACGAAGGTCAGATTTGGAGCACCTGTGGAGAGAAGGCGTCACGCAGCCACTTCCTGTTGTTAAATTAACATTTTTAGTGTTTTTATCCCGAGACGGAAATATCGGGAAGTCTCCAAAATCAGTTTTCCTCCCGCTTTTAGTACGAAAAGAAATCCACAACGTTTTTTTTTTTAAGCTTCAACAGCCGGGCTTTCAGGAGTCTGTTTGCAAAGCCCCCAAAAATGTCGTTTTTAATGTTTAAATCCACTTCTCCTCCTTCTCTTCTTCTTCTTCTTCCTCTTTAGTTTGTGTCACAGCTGCAGACCTGGGTTCAGAAGAACTTTAGTTTCATATCTTTTTTGAAGGAGTTTTTGAGGAGTTGTGTGGCAGAGAAACCTAAATATTTCCTTTTACATCACACATCAGGCAGAATATTTAAAATACTCCAGACTTCTGGTCCAATTGAGCACTTTAAAACAAATGCTAGGAAAAGTAATTCAGGGATCCTAAAGATTTTAGATTTATTGGGAAATATCCCTTGATTGTTTTGCTTTCAGTATACCAGAAAAATCCATATTAACAATTAGATATTAGAGCTGGCCGCTTCAAAGGTGACGTCTTTGTGGTTTTGGTTTATTTCTATAGTAGATTATTCCTTTTTCTTATGCTTAAGGACGTTTCTCAAAGTAACGCAAGGTTTAAAGTGGCTTTTTTTGCAGAATTATTGGCGATTAAACTCAATATTGTCAATTTAATTAAACTAATTGGTATAAATGTTGTTGCTGACCCTTTTAAACTCGACTAATTTGTGGATTTGGTATACTTCCTAAGTTGATTAGTCATACACTTCTCCTGCAACTTCTGCAAAAGCAAGGTTTAAAGTCGTGCTTTTGACTCATTTTTGTGCCAAGTTTTTAACGTTTTTAACTAAGTAGCGTACAGTCCTGGTTAATCCTAGTCTTTGCACAAGAGACATCTGCATCTCTTAGATTTTAGGAGTTTAAAACCTTTGAAATCGACTGCTTTTTCTGTACGTTTCTGTACCTGCACATGAACCAATGAAGATTGATTGATTGACTGATTGAGCCCTGACTAGTGTTCCTGCCCCAGGTCTGCAGATTGTGGTTCTTTCTGTTAGAACTTGGGCTGATGGAGAGAAATCGTAGAAATCAACTCTATTTCTGGACGTTTCTCTACTTGCACATGAACCCTGATCAGTGTTTCTGCCCCAGGTCTGCAGATCGCGGTTCTTTCCGTTAGAACTTGGGCTGGTAGAGGGCCACGCGGCCGCTGAGACACCCTGAGGCCAGCTGGCAGTGCGTGGGGGAGAACTTTGTGGTCAGCACCACGTCGCTGTGGGAGTAGAGCGAGCGGATCTCCCTCAGCACGGAGGTCTGCACGGGCAGGCAGTCGGACAGTTCGCCGCAGCTCTCGTCGAAGGCCAGCAGCCGCACGCCGTAGCCGTACGGGGAGCAGATGAGCCGCCCGTCGGGGCTGAAGCACAGCTCCTTGATGTAGCCCCGGCCCACGTTGGCCTCCTCGATGTAGTGGGTGAGGCGGAGCGAGCAGCGGGGGGAGACCAGCGGGCGGGAGGGGGCGCCTTCCTGGAACTCGTAGACACAGGTCCACTGGAGAGAGGGGGGGGGGGGGTTATAGAGCACAATTTAAGACATTTACAAAAGCTTTAGGACATAGTGTCAAGAAGAACGTTAAAAAAAAATTGTATTTAAATTAATTATTATCATTATTCTTTTGTATTGGTTAACAGCAAAGCATGTGTAAATGTAGCGGGATTAGATTAGGCAGGGGTCTTTTCAACACGAGGCAATTCAAAGGGCTTCACAGCTAAAAACACACATGTAAAACATTTAAAACACCCTTTTAAGAAGTCAAAGGAATATATAAAAAAAAGCTTGTATAGAATAAAAACCAATATATTAAAATGTATGAAAATGCGACTGCAAAAATGAAAATCTGTCATTTAAATAATTGATGGTTGCAGCGGACGTGCAGATGTCTGATAGCTTTTCCTAAATAAACGCAGAATAATGATGCAGTTCTTTCAGTTTAACACAAAAGTGTTGAAGTACTGCAGAGATCTAGATCAGGGATGGGCAAATATTCCAGGGGAAACACTCACAAGAAACACCGGCTGCTGTTATGCCTGCTGTGACGTTAAAGGTCCCATGTCATGGCCATTTCTACTGATCATGATTCCATTGTTGAGGTCTACTAGAATAGATTTACATTGTTCAATGTTCCAAACTCACATTGGTTTCTCATACAGCATCTCTGTATAGTGTGTGTATTCACTCTCTGTCCTAAACGGCTTGTTGGAGCTCCTGCCCCCCCTCCTCCCTATGAGCCCACTGTGCTCTGATGAGTCCACCACCGTTACAGCGGAACATCAGTGATTATGTGTTACAATGGCGTTTGTTAGCAACCAGGAAATGACACCAGTAATGACAAACAGATGAGAATGCTGCGTGGGGTCTGGGTGCCGTGTTGGCGGGACGTTGCGCGGCTCGCTGCTGCGAGGAGTGGACAGTGTGAGCTGGGTTCATTTCCTGCTTGCTGCGTGGGGTCTGCGAGACAGCGAGACATCGCGAATGGACGTGGGAAGGAGGGGGTGCTGAGGGGGCTGCAGCACCCCCATCTGCGAGGCTCCACTAGCAGAATAAATGATTTTTGCCCACTCTGTTGTTCAGATATATCACATATTTGTAACTAAATGATACATTAATTGAAACAAAACACAGTATAAACTGAGGAGTGAGTCCCGTGAGTTTCATGTGTTTTCTTCACTCCGCTGGGAAACTGCTCTCATGTCAAGAAGCATCAGATCAGTGCATGCGCTGCATCGTCCAATCAGTGAGCGATACACAGTAAGGGGGCGGGGCGAGTGTCTGAGGATTTCACCGGAGGATGGTCTGGTAGTTCCTCCATTGTAGTTCCTCCATTATCGCTCCTCCATTATCGCTCCTCGACCCTCGGTCCTCCGGCACAAATAAGTGCCATGGGACGCTCCTCAAGATGGCGCAGACAAATCAACGTCTGGTGATACCAAGACCGAGGAGCGAGGAAATGAATAACCGACCTGAGATGCAGCCATGGAATTTGTGTGTGTGTTCCAAGTGAATCTGCGGCCCCCTGGTGGCCAGTACATACATGATGTGGCCCCCCACCACCTTCCAAGTTGCCCATCCCTGATCTAGATGCATTAACAGGTATCTAACTTCAGATTCATAAACATGAGGATGTTTTTGTACCTCCTGGTCGTCCATGTTGCTGGAGCAGCGGATCAGCGCCGCCCAGCCCTTCGGGTGCAGCTGCAGAGACGTGATGCAGTTTCCTCTGTCCCTCTCTCCAGGGATCTCTGGAGTCAAAACCTCCAGACTGTTCCTGGGAGCCAGACCTGAGGGAGGAGGAGGGAGGAGAGGAGAGGGTCTTATAGTCTCCTTAATTATTACACTGGCAGAACCTCAGATACGATAATACTTTAAAGGTCCCCGATCATACTGTTTTCATCAATATATCACAGGTCTCAGATATATACAGAACCTGTCTCTGATTGGCTGAAACACCAAACAGATCATTGCAGCATCCCATAATCCCCTCTGTTTCAGCCCTGTTTCCAAAGTGCTGATTCTCTGTCTGTTACTTAGATGAAAATAAGGAGCCCCTCCCCACGCCCCTCTGAGAGATATTTGGTTACAAAGAACTCAATGGTGCTCTAGTACCCCATTCACACCAACGGTGTTTCAGGGCCGGTTCGGTGCTGGTGCTTGAAAAGCACCGGGTTTTCCTGTTCACACCGCAGCGGAGCAGCCTCTAAGCTCCGGAATCCGGTTCGTTTCGAGCACCAAAAAGTTGTCCGTGTAGAAGCAAGAACCGCATACGTCGGAGGGGGGCGAGATTAACCTGAGATAACAGTTAAGGCGAGTACGGCAAATAAAAGTTGTAACCAGCAGTAGTGCTGAGCAAAAGTGACTAGAACGCAACCACACACTTGTAAAAAAAAAACACGCTTTATAAAGTCAGGCAACACTAACCAGGCTTCGTGTGATTCTGTTTATTTGTACCTTACTTTGACCATCCGTTCGCTGTTATTGATCATTGTGGAGAGCAGGCAGACGTTTTGTTTGTTATTATAGCAGCTATCGGATGGAATCAATACATGGGCTGCACAGGTTGTCATGTCCGACTATCACAAGTAGAATCATAATGAAAAATACGCCGGTAAAATGTGCCTGTAGAAAACGGCTTAGCAAGTAGTCAGTTTAGCTTCGGTTGCTATGCTAACATCACCCATGTTATACCAGAGAAACTTTCATAACAGCGTTGTGATGCCAAACAGCGTCAATTCAGACTGACACACATTCACTTAAGGGGAACTGGGGATATGTATCAGCTGCTTGTGTGACAGTCAGACAGTGAATACTTTAGAGCCGTGTGAGCTAACCCGGAGCTAACGGGAGAATACACTCGTGGAAGAGCAGCCAGCACTGCAGCGGGTCGGTAAATGCCGCTGAAAACACATTAATAAACAATGAACCACGGCACTCTGGAGAAAAGTATAAGGTTGGAGAAGTCGTTATTTAATTTAATCTGGCTTCGTATGATTAAAAGCAACGCAGTCCCCGGCCCGTTGTTGTGAGGTGAGCTCCGTTGGGGAGAAAATCAGCGACGTAAACTGTGACGTCATGACGCAGCAGCGGCAGCACCAGTCGGTCTCTGAGCGGTGTGAAAAGAGCCGGAGCTAAACCGAAGAACCGGTTCTGAACCTGAAAAGCTCTAGCACGGAGCTTGAACCGGAGTTGCGTTGGTGTGAAAGGGGTATAGGAGGAGATTCAGGTGATAAGGTGGGGGGGGGGGGGGGGTTACCTTGGTTGGTGATTGGCTAATGGTTACACAAGCCAAAACATCGTTATGACATCATAAAGTGGCCAAAATCTGATCAGCTCATTTTCAGACAGGTTTTTATATAAATGGATCAGGACGAAAAGAGAGAGAATCTTTGTTCCTGAAACTTTCAGAGTCTCTTTCCACAGAGGGATTCAGCTCTGTATTCACTGAGGGGACAGACTGGAGCACAAAGGATGCTTCAGTCTGACTTTGTGATGATGAGATATGTTTTTTTATCCTCTGACCTTCTCTGGGAGCGTGGATCTTGCTCGAGTCGTTTCCGTGACGAGGAGCTCCTGCCGACCGAGACGCTGACGAGCCTCCGTCTGAGGGGCGGAAATAAATAAACTTTTTAATTACAACAAATCACAATCGAGAGGACAATAACAACAGATGCTCATGGTAAGTCAACGAAGGATTTAAATAATTAAAACAGCCTGAAATATGGTAAGTCTTCATTTTAATATTACAAGATAAAAAAACAACGTAAAACACAATAAATGTAATTCTTCAGGTTTCTATAAAAACACCAGCGCTCAGCAAGTTCTGTTAAAAACAATGCATTTTTATCCATACAATGTGTGTCATCAGATTTCATTGCTTTTTCCAACCTGTAGCTTTGTGCATACGACAATAAAACCCTTGAAGATGGAATCTTGCTGGTGAGTGTTTTCCTACCCGAGCTGAGGGGGGTCCTCCGGGCTCGCAGCATGCGGTAGCTGCCGACCTCCAGAGACTGCGTGAGGTCGAGGTCGTGCAGGATCAGCAGGTACCCCGAGGACGTGGAGATGAGCATCTTGGAGCAGTCGGGCGTCAGGCGCATCCTCATCAGGTACCGCGTGTGGAAGAACTTCTTGTGCGGGCAGCCGTCCTCCGTGAACCTGCAGAGGGACAAACAGGAGGTTTGAGGGCTTAATAGATCAGAGGCAGCGTTTCCGCCAGGGGGGCGTCTTGCCGTCATTTGACAAAAAAATTATAATTCGAGAGAAGATCGAGTTTTTATCGCTTGAAATGACGAAAAGGAAAAAGGAAAAAGGACATCCATCTGTTGGCGGGGCAAAGGAGTCTGGTGGGATTCTTATCGCCGCCAGCAAAGCGTGTTCCTGTGACGGAAAGTGTACTGCCGGCGAGCCTTGACGGGGGGTGCTAGTGGAGCGCGCGTGAACTGCGAGCGCCGGAGCCTCGCAGCGGCGAAACTGAGGCTCCGTGGTAAACTGTGTAAAATGAAGAGCCGTTTAGGAGCCGAAAGAGCCGGCTCTTCTTAGTGAGCCGAGCCAAATGATCCGGCTCACTAAAAAAGAGCCGGAATTCCCATCACTAATACGTAAAAAGATAGTATCTATAAAGGGACGGCTCAATTCAAAATTCAAGTCACGTGACACTACGTGACGTCACATCCCCCCCCAGGGTGGACGCCCTCTCAGCCCTGGTCTGGCGGAAACACTGATCAGAGGTATTCTCTTTTTTTTTTTTATTTAATTTTTTTTATCTGTCTGTCCTTTAACACTTTATTTTTGAATGTTTACATTATATAGAAACATCATACAGAATGTCATTGGACAGTCAAATACATACTGTAGCTGCAACAGTGCACATTTAAACCAGACTGCCAAAAAGCAGATCAAATATACCCCAGCATGAAAGAAAACAACAATTTAAAGGGGACCTATCATGCAAAATGCACTTTTGTACGTCTTTTATACATGAATATGTGTCCCCGGTGTTCCAGGGAACTCACCAAGTGTCAGAAAACACAACCCTCTCTATTTTCCTCCATACCCAAATCTCTAAAAAAGGGGATGCAACGGATCTGATAAAAACTGATCCAGATTTGAACACTGTCCTGATGTCAGGACGGTGGCGCTACGGCTATTGGGCCAACTCCACCAATCAGGAGGAGACAGCCACGGCCATTGCCGTTCGAAAGCGCTGGAGACGCTGTAGTACATATGCCAGGCCTGTAGGTGGTGCTGTTCTCACTGAATCTGCCCTTGCAAAAACAGAGCTAGAAATTGTCAAATTGAGCAAAATGAGACATGGCTAAAATGCATGATCTGTTTGGTATTTTGGAAAAAAAAAAGTATAAATATGCCTTATATAGGTATGGTCCTACACTATATTATTCAAATATAGCATGATAGGTCCACTTTAAATTAAAAAACAGAGTAAATGAGATACGTATACACGTTCTCATAATAGACACACTGAAATAAAAAATAAAACCATACAAAGCAAACGACAAACAAAAGCGGTATTCTCTTTAAAATGGTTTGGAAACAAAGTGGTTAGAGGTAGGGAGAGAAACTCCTCCTCTTGGGGCAGCTCTTCAGGAGGAATCATGTTGAATTACAGCCAGAAAACCGTACAGAGATAAAGGGGAAGGTTTTATTTGACATCGGCTTGAAGGAAAAGGGCTTTTATAAAGACAGAGATTTATTTGTTTTGACGTTTTAGATCCTGGTTCAATATTAAGTGATAGCAATGTTCAAAAAGCTCTTTATTTCTCTCATACTGTCTGTGCTGCAGCACCTCTTTTCACCCTCTGTCTGAAACCAGAGCCCAGTCTGCTCTGATTGGTTAGCTGGCCGGCTCTGTTGTGATTGGTCAACCACTTAGAGATGTCCCGCCCCTTAGCCCATCACGTACAATGTGTTGGAGCGCTAGCCAATAGCAATGCAAGTGTTCCAATGTGATGTCACTGTGTTCAGGAAGTAAACAAAGGAGTCCAATGACTACAACTAAAATCTCCTCTCTCTCACCTGTTGGTGTCCCACGTGATGACGTTGCCATCGAACCCCGAGGTGACGAGCAGTTTGGTGTTGGTGTCGTACTCGATGTTCTTCACCCAGCTGGCGTGGCCGTGCAGCGAACACACCTTCGAGTTCAGCTTACGGAGGTCCCACAATGCAATAGTGGTGTCGTCGGAGCAGGTGGCGAACAGACGATTGTCCAAAAACCTGCAGGGAGAAGAAGACATTAAAGGTCTCTTCTACATCAACACGTGTCCCCTCTTCTTCATGTCTCTTCTACATCAACACGTGTCCCTCCTCTTCTCTATGTCTCTTCTACATCAACACGTGTCCCCTCTTCTTCATGTCTCTTCTACATCAAACACGTGTCCCCTCTTCTTCATGTCTCTTCTACATCAACACGTGTCCCCTCTTCTTCATGTCTCTTCTACATCAACACGTGTCCCCTCTTCTTCATGTCTCTTCTACATCAACACGTGTCCCCTCTTCTTCATGTCTCTTCTACATCAACACGTGTCCCCTCTTCTTCATGTCTCTTCTACATCAACACGTGTCCCCTCTTCTTCATGTCTCTTCTACATCAACATGTGTCCCCTCTTCTTCATGTCTCTTCTACATCAACATGTGTCCCCTCTTCTTCATGTCTCTTCTACATCAACATGTGTCCCCTCTTCTTCATGTCTCTTCTACATCAACATGTGTCCCCTCTTCTTCATGTCTCTTCTTCATCAACATGTGTCCCCTCTGTGTAATGAGATTCTGAAAGTTTCAGGAACAAAGATTCTCTCTCTTTTTGTCCTGATCCATTTCTATAAAAACCTGTCTGAAAATGAGCTGATCAGATTTTGGACACTTTATGATGTCATAACGATGTTTTGGCTTGTGTAACCATTAGCCAATCACCAACCAAGGTAACCCAACCCCCCCCCCCCCCTGACGTGGAGCTAATCTGAAGTAAACATTGAATACTGCTTTATATTCCTCCATCTTGTGACTGTGTAACTCCCTCTCTTGGATATCAGCATGTGAAGGACACTGTTCAGGAACTAGTTGATGCTCTGTATGTGATGACTACTTCCATTCTTGAGAGGATCAGAAATACATGGATCCTGAGATTGAAGCTCAAGCTGGGGACGAGTGAGATTACAGAAATGTACAGTGTGATTGTTTACCTGATGTTGTTGACGCAGTCCTCGTGAGCCTCCGTCAGAGTCTTTATGTGTCGGGAGGAGATGGGGTCGAACAGCAGGACCTCCGTCTGCTCGCAGGCCACCGTCAGCACCGACCTGAGCACGGAAACACGAGTAAATCACACGAGAGGACGAACGAAGGGATGTCCAGGGCCACGTTTCATACCAGACATCTTTGTTATTTGCTATTGGATGATGTCCTGCATTTTATTTTGTTATTATTTTATGTATGTGTGATGCTGCATGTCTTTGTTGTCTTTTCTGAATGTTTTCATTGCACCTTAAAAAGGAGTAGCTTTACTCTTCTCGTTGTATCTATTCTAATCAGCAGATCTTCTTATCGTGGTTTTCAACACATGAACACAGAAAGCTCCAACAATGCATAAACCCACAAGAACAGCTTCTAACTTAGATCAATTATATCTTATGTACGTATTCATTGATGACAGACTAAAGGAGCGAAGTACACCGGCACATAAGCATGATTACTTTGGGCTACTGTACGGATATCTATCGGCAATTTGCTCAGAGAAATGTAAGAATGCCTTTAATATATAAGAACATGGAAAACATGGCGAGTCCTGACACGGTCTTCTTCAAAGTCTCTCCAAAAGACACCATTCGTTTTGTGTCTCTGTGATTGTTTTATATCAACTCCTAGTCCTTTTCGAGGCTGCACATGTGTAGACTCCGCGGTCTTAAAATCCCCACAATGCTTTGCGCACGGACCAATTTCCCCAAATCTGTGGCGGAAAATGTAAGGCGGGGCCTCTCATATGACGCACACCTGCACACTTGCTAGCCTGTTCCACTCTTCGTTTTCCGAATGCCAGGAAGGATTCTTGCCTCGCTTCGGAAGAAAGTGACTCGGAAGACATGTGCTACCAAGCAAGCGTACTCGACATTGAGAAACACCCAGGGTATGTGTACTTGTGGAGTTAGTTTGTGGTCAATTTTAGTCATTTTTCATCTCATTTCTGACATGTAACAATTCTAAATAGATGCATTTATGTCTTTGCATCAGTTAATTGTGTTTTACTCTTTAAAGGTGGGGTAGGTAATTCACTTCAGAAACACGTTTTGTTATATTCCATGGAATGCTCTTAACATCCCGATAGCAATGAATACATTAAATGCTTTGAAGCCGTGGCGCTGTAAAAAGCACGACCAATCATCTGAGCCGGCCCGGCTAAAATAACTGGATGGCCTACCTGCCTGTCAGCCTTCCATCTGTGCACAAACTTATCTCGTGCCCTCATTGGTCATGTGCGCGTTCGTGTGTGTTGGAGGAGGGGCTCTGTAAGGAAGTCTGAAGGAAGGGGCAGATTTTTTTCGGTTACGTACTTTCAAATTCTAGCGCACTCGAGCCGGTTTCTCCATTCTTACCTACTCGACCTTTAAGTTGGTTTAACTTAAAGGGGACCTATCATGCAAAATGCACTTTTGTACGTCTTTTATACATGAATATGTGTCCCCGGTGTTCCAGGGAACTCACCAAGTGTCAGAAAACACAACCCTCTCTATTTTCCTCCATACCCAAATCTCTAAAAAAGGGGCTGCAACGGATCTGATAAAAACTGATCCAGATTTGAACACTGTCCTGACGTCAGGACGGTGGCGCTACGGCTATTGGGCCAACTCCACCAATCAGGAGGAGACAGCCACGGCCATTGCCGTTTGAAAGCGCTGGAGACGCTGTAGTACATATGCCAGGCCAGTAGATGGTGCTGTTCTCACAGAATCAGCCCTTGCAAAAACAGAGCTAAAAAATGTCAAATTGAGCAAAATGAGACATGGCTAAAATGCATGATCTGTTTGGTATTTTGAAAAAGAAAAAGTATAAATATGCCTTATATAGGTATGGTCCTACACTATATTATTCAAATATAGCATGATAGGTCCACTTTAAGTTTTGTGTTTTTTTCTCATGCATATTCCTTGACTGTGAAGTGAAGCGATCCTTGCTACAGAGAGATGGAAGCAGTGAGGATGAATTTAATAATGCATTCAGGCACTTTCCAGGAAACGGCACTGGTAATAAATTCAGAAAGTACCCCGTCTGCATAACTCTGGGTTATAGGCAAGTAATATCATCTAACGCATCGGGGGAGTCTGTCCGAACATAACTTTATTGGAGAGCGTATTTTTTGATTTTGCATGAATGTGATTGATTTGCCTCTATTTTTAGTCATTTTGTGTTTCCTTGTTGTCGTTTGGAATCTATTTTCAGACGTTTCACATCTCTGTGTAGCTGTTTTGGGTCATTTGTAGTCATGTATGCTTTCTGGTTGACTATGTTTGTGGTGATTTTTTGTCGTTTTGCAACTGATTTCTGACATTTTACTTGTCTAAATAGTTGCCTCTTATGTCTTTGCAGCGGTTTGTGGTTGTTTGCATACTTGAGGTGTATGTTTTTGGTCCTTTTATCTGTCTCTGTGGTCATTTAGTGTCTATTTATAATCGTTTTGTGTTGTTTTTCCCCATGCATATTCTTGACAGGTGAAGTGATCCTTGGATGATGTGAAGTCCAGAGAGATGGAAGCATGTGAGGATGAATGTAATGGTGCATTCGGGCACTTTCCAGAAACATGCAGGGGTAATAAACTCAAAAAGTATGTAACCTGTCTGCATAACTCGGGGTTAAAGGCCCAACATATCCTCTTACCCCTCTATTTTTTGTCATTTTGTGTTTCCTTGTTGTTTAGAATCTATTTTCAGCCGCTTCACATCTCTGTGTAGTTGTTTTGGGTCATTTGTAGTCATTATGTGTATGTATGCTTTCTGGTTGAGGACGTTTGTGGTCATTTTTTGTCGTTTTGCATCTAATTTTAGACATTTCACATTTCTATAAAGATGTCTTTTGTCTGTTTGTAGCTGTTTGCTAACTTAAGGTGTGTGTTTTTGGGTCATTTAAAGCATGTCTGTGGTCATTTAGAGTCTGTTTTTGATCGTGTTGTTCCCCGATCCAATTTCCTTGACAGGTGAAGTGATCCCTGGATGATGTGAATCCAGAGACATGGAAGCAGTGAGGATGATTACATCAGGCTCTTCCCAGGAAATTGCATAGGGAAATTAACCCATTCATTGCACTGTTAATAAACTCAACTCAAAAAGTCGCTTCCCTGTCTGCATAACTCGGGTTAAAGGCCCATAATACCCTCTTACCCGTCGGGGGAGTACTCCAGGTTGAACACCGCTCCATGGGTCTGAGTGCTCAGGTTCACAGACTCCGCGGCCGGGTTCATCGAGCAGTACAAACTGGTCATTGTCCGGAAGTTATCCCGGGCAGGGTCCACAAACACCCCCCGTCTTATAGTCCTGCTCTGCAGCCAGGAGAACACACTGTTGCCGCTGCGGAGCTCCGCGCTTGCCGTCTCGCCGCTCCCCGGCTGCGGCGCGGTGGACGCGGCAGGATCGCAGCGCGGCTCTCCTCCCGCTTCTGACGCCGCGGACCTCGCTCTGCGCTCCGGCCTGATCCCACCGCTCCCCGGGGGCGAAGGAGACACTGTCGGGGCGATTTCATCCTCCGCATCCGAGTCGTCCAGGTCGGGGTCCTCCTCTTTGTCGCTGGAGCCGCTGTTGGGCCTCTCCTCCTCCGCCGCGTCCTCGCTGTCGCTCCGGTGCTCCGAGCTCATTGTCGCCGCTCCAGACCCCGCACAGGCGGCGGTGTTTCCCGGGAAAAAAGCTGCCTGACTCCGGTCACCTATGGAGCATGAAACCGTGTTTTTTACCCAGTTTTATGGTGCCATGTTGGGCGATTTTACCCGCACAGGCTGCTGAATTATATGTTGGCAGCGCGGCGTCAACACAAACACGAATCAACACAAATGCGACCGGAAAAGAACAGAATTCACCTTCAAAATAAAATTACACACTCGTTTTTTTCTACGTTTTTAAAAAGAAACACATCAAATCAATATGTTATAAAGGCTACTCCTTACTTTATTACATAGCACTGATTTAGCAAGTGAAATTAAGAACTAAATCATCCATTTGTATCGATAAATGTATTAATTTGAAGGGCCCCGGCGGAAGTTGAATGTTTTTACTCTAACTAACTTAACAGTTTAGCTTTCACCAAAACAAACGCAATAATTTGCTAAAGAAATGACGAATTTCCGCTTCCTTGTCCATTTTCAGGTGCATGCGTAGATTGGTTGCTGCCATCTGCTGGAACAATGCTGCACTTTATTTTATTTGCCTACTTTATTTACTTACCAGAAGTGGGAGAAGTACTCAGATCTTGTACTTGAGTAAAAGTAGAAGTACTCAGATCATGTACTTGAGTAAAAATAGAAGTACTCAGATCTTGTACTTGAGTAAAAGTAGAAGTACTCAGATCTTGTGCTTGAGTAAAAGTAGAAGTACCAGAGTGTAGGAATACTCTGTTACAGTAAAAGTCCTGCATTCAAAATGTTCCTCAAGTAAAAGTAGAAAAGTATTATCATCAAAATATAGTTAAAGTCGCAACAGTAAAAGTAGTGATTGTGCAGATTGGTCCATTTCAGAATAATATATATGATATGTTTTATAATGATTGATCATTAAAGTGTTCTCAAAGCTGGTAAAGGTGCAGCTAGTTTGAATGACTTTGTATACTGCAGGGTAGCTTGTGAATTTACTCCAGGTGGAACTAAAGTCTGATTTAACACTTGATTATATTTCACATCATTCATCCAGATCTGTGAAGTAACTAAAGGTATTACATACATGTAGTGGAGGAAAAGTACACCATTTACCTCTGAACTGAAGAGGAGTAGAAGTACAAAGAAGCATAACATGGACATACTCAAGTAAAGTACAAGTACCTCAAAATTGTACTTAAGTACAGTACTTGGTGATGAATGTTTTGACGTCTACTTTTACTCAAGTACAAGATATGAGTACTTCTTCCACCTCTGCATTTAAGTATATAATCTTGGATAATAAATACTACTTTAAAATCTGAACAATATATAGAGCTTTTGTGTTTAGCGTGCTGAGTTATGTAACACATGGTGAAGATGTTTCTTTCATTCTCATCATTGTTTTTCTTCTTTGGAAGCATTAATAGATGATGATATGTTTGCCTGAACATTTAGTCAGAGATTGACGCGTCGGGACAGTTTACATCTCCAGGGTGAAGCAGCTGCTGCCAAACTGTGGCTCATACACGCCGTCATGGCTTCCTGTGTTTCTACAATGCTCTTTAGACGCCTTTTAAAACAGACTTTTACTAGGCGTCATCTTTCAAATAAATCAGTTTACTCACAGCTGTGATGACTTGTCTGGCTTGTGAGGCTGGAGTACGACTTTATGCAACCCATGTGGTGTGTCAATTGTTCAACTACATACTGATATACACCTGAACATCAGCCAGGAGAGGCACTCTTTTTTAAGTAGAGACACTAAATAACTGATATACACCTGAACATCAGCAGGCGAGACTCTTTTAAAGTAGAGGACACTACATACTTGATATTACACCTGAACATCAGCAGGAGAGGGACTCTTTTAAAGTAGAGACACTACAATTACTGACTATACACCTGAACATCAGCAGAGAGGACTCTTAAAGTAGAGACACTACATACTGATATACACCTGAACATCAGCAGGAGAGGACTCTTTACAAGTAGAGGGACACTACATTACTGATATTACACCTGAACATCAGCAGGAGAGGACTCTTTAAAGTAGAGACACTACATACTGATATACACCTGAACATCAGCAGGAGAGGAACTCTTTAAAGTAGAGACACTACATACTTGATATACACCTGAACATCAGCAGGAGAGGACTCTTTAAAGTAGAGACACTACATACTGATATACACCTGAACAGCAGCAGGAGAGGACTCTTTAAAGTAGAGACACTATACTGATATACACCTGAACATCAGCAGGAGAGGACTCTTAAAGTAGAGACACTAATACTGATATACACCTGAACATCAGCAGGAGAGGACTCTTTAAAGTAGAGACACTACATACTGATATACACCTGAACATCAGCATGAGGACTCTTTAAGTAGAGACACTACATACTGATACACCTGAACATCAGCAGGAGAGGACTCTTTAAAGTAGAGACACTACACACTTATATACACCTGAACATCAGCAGGAGAGGACTCTTTAAAGTAGAGACACTATACTGATATACACCTGAACATCAGCAGGAGAGGACTCTTTAAAGTAGAGACACTACATACTGACTATACAACCTGAACATCAGCAGGAGAGGACTCTTTAAAGTAGAGACATTACATACTGATATACACCTGAACATTAGCAGGAGAGGACTCTTTAAAGTAGAGACACTACAGTACATACTGATATACACCTGAACATCAGCAGGAGAGGACTCTTTAAAGTAGAGACACTACATACTGATATACACCTGAACATCAGCAGGAAAGGACTCTTTAAAGTAGAGACACTACATACTGATATATATACTGATATACTGATATATATACTGATATTTTTCTGTCCTACTTAAAGGACAGAAAAAACTTTGTTTCTATAGGTAAATACACATCTGAGTTGACAAATATGACATGTGGGGTACCTCAAGGCTCCATCTTGGGGCCTCTTCTCTTTAACATCTACATGCTACCACTGGCTCAGATAATGAAAAACAACAAAATAAGTTACCATAGCTATGCGGATGACACACAAATCTACGTAACAATTTCACCAGGAGATTATGCTCCAATTCAAACACTGAGTAAGTGCATTGAACAAATCAATGACTGGATGTGTCAAAACTTTCTCCAATTAAACAAAGATAAAACTGAGGTAATGGTTTTTGGAGCCAAGGCAGAACGTATAAAAGTTAGCGCTGAGCTTCAGTCTGCAATGTTCAAAACAACAGATAAAGCCAGAAATCTAGGTGTAGTCATGGACTCTGACCTGAGTTTCAACAGTCACATTAAAACAGTTACTAAATCAGCCTACTATCACCTAAAGAACATATCTAGGATTAAAGGACTAATGTCACAGCAGGATTTGGAAAAACTTGTCCATGCTTTTATCTTCAGTAGACTCGACTACTGCAATGGTGTCTTTACAGGCCTCACTAAAAAATCTATTAGAAAGCTGCAGCTAATTCAGAACGCTGCTGCTCGAGTCCTCACTAACACTAAGAAAGTGGATCACATCACTCCTGTTCTGAAGTCCTTACACTGGCTTCCTGTGTGTCAAAGAATAGATTTCAAAATATTGTTGCTGGTTTATAAAGCTTTGAATGGTTTAGGCCCAAAATACATGTCTGACCTACTGCTAAATTATGAACCATTCAGAACTCTCAGGTCTTCAGGGACTGGTCAGCTTTCTGTCCCCAGAGTCAGAACTAAACATGGAGAAGCAGCATTCAGTTATTATGCTCCAAATATCTGGAACAAACTCCCAGAAACCTGCAGGTCCGCTGCAACTCTTACTACTTTTAAATCCAGGCTGAAGACTTTTCTTTTTGCCGCTGCTTTTAATTGAACTATTCACATCTTAAACTGCACTGTAACTTTTAACTTTTATCCATGTATTTTTTCTTTTAATGTTTATTTTATTATCTTTTCTTTTTAATGACTGATTTTAAATGCCATTTTTAAAATGTCTTCCATTTTTGTAAAGCACTTTGAATTACCTTGTGTTGAAAGGTGCTATATAAATAAACTTGCCTTGCCTTGCCTTGCCTTGATATACACCTGAACATCAGCAGGAGAGGACTCTTTAAAGTAGAGACACTACATACTGATATACACCTGAACATCAGCAGAAGAGGACTCTTTAAAGTAGAGACGCTAAATACTGATATACACCTGAACATGAGGACAATAGGGCCTCTTTAAAAACTTGTCACCGTCTTCTAAAGGTTTCCAATATCTGAGTTACTTAATAAGCCCGTGCTTTGGGAACGTATTGTATAATATGCCATAATTATTTCTCTCTGGCAGCATTAGTAAATGATGACATGTTTGCTTTAACATTAAGTCAGAGTTTGACGTGCCGGGACAGTTTTTACATTTACAGGATGAAGCAGCTGCTGCCAAACTGTTGCTGAAACACACGCTGCCTGCAGGCGCTCCGACATGACTGAGAGACTTAATTACAGTTTGTGTTGTGGCTGCGTGTTGAGTATGCATTCCTGGAAACTGTACCCTTGTTGTGTATTTGCATTGCTGGAAAGTAACTAAGTACATTTACTCAAGTACCGTACCTCCTTTTTATTGCTTATGAATATTCTACTCCAGTCAATTTAAAAGGGGAAATGTATTTTACTCCACTATATTATATTGTTTTAAAGCTTAAGTTACTTATCAGATAAGGGGTTTGCATAAAAAAACACGTCATTACAGTACTGTAAGTTGAATTACACATGTTACTGATAAAACTTTTCTAATTGTACTTAAGTAAGAATTTAATGTGGAACTTTTAATGTAGTTTTTGAAATATTTGTATTTTGACTTAAGTAAAGGATTCAATACTTCTTCTACCACTTATGTGTTTGTGTGTGTGTGTGTGTGTGTGTGTGTGTGTGTGTGTGTGTGTGTCCTTTCGAGTTAATTGTGAGTATTCCTCCGCCAACATCACTGCGGTGGTGAACATTTAGAATAAAGACATCCTAATTAACTTTACGAACCATCACAGATTTATTTAGTTTTATGTGTAACTAATTACTGGATGCAGTTTACTGGAGTTTAGGTGCGTTTTTTTTGTTTTTGTACCTGGCATATGATGCAGGGATTGGCTGGTGCTTTTACGCACGCCTATAGCACATGCATCCATGTGTACGCGCACACATAAAAAGGAGAGCAAACAGTGGAAGTCTCTCGGTTGCAGACGGGAAAAATGACAGGTATGCTGGATGCTGCGCTTCATCCAAGTGGAGCCGTCTGCGCGTATTTACGCACGGTGTCACGTCCGAGCTCATCCAAAAAGCGCCCAATCCTTCCCGCGTTTATCCCCCTCCTCGTGTCCGTCATGGTGCTGGTTCCGGCCTCAGCGCATCCTCAGTGTCTGGACTTCGCGCCACCTTTCAAACCTTTATGGCACCTGGAGTTCTGCACGCAGTACGAGCAGTTCGGCTGCTGCGATCAGAAGATGGACAACATGATCGCGGAAAGATACTGGGACATCATCGACCAGCTGGAAACGAGGGGGGAAGATCTGTGTGAGGACCTGTTGAAGGAGGTCATGTGCCAGGTGGGTACATGCTTTTATATTGGCTTGTGATGCAATGGGCATAACAAGTTTGTGGCACATATTAAAACGTATCTCAGTGCTTCTACATTCAGTTTCATCCAAACCATCATTAAAGTGATTCTCATTATCAACCTCTTTACTGCTATTTTTCCTGTTCTCTAATCTGATTTAATAAACATTTAAATGTACATAATGCAGCATTTAATGTCAGGCATCATGCAACTTGTATTTACTTTCTATAATTCCTCTTCTTTTATCTCATTTCATACAAATCTCAATTAAAAGTCATGCAGAATTCAGAGGTGATTTTGTGATGAGAGGGGACCTGTTTTTTTCGTCGTTTTTTTACAAGAATTTTACAAAAACATGTAAATAACGCTTATAATTCCTACAAATAACTGTAATAACTCCAATACAAATCTTGAAATTAGTTAAATATTACTATTAAATGTTCCCATATATTGTAAAACAGTGGCGTACTTAGGGGAAAGGGGGCAGAGTGTCTTTTTTCAAAACCAGATTTGGTCTTCGTCCTATAAAACCTTGTTTTTTTTATTGGCGATGAATTATTTTACTAACATCTGGCTTTTGTCTTTAGTGGGAGAGATTTAAATCAGTCCTCAGCTGGTTTTGCGTGTAAAAAAAAGCTACACACACTATTTGTCAGTGGGAAAGCAGGTAAAATGGTCACTCCATGCCTCCGCTTCGATCTAACACTCAGAAGTCCTTGAAGCCAGCCAAGGTGTCCCTTTAATTTCCCTGTGTTGCCTCTCTAGCCGTGAAACGCCTCAGTGATAATCAGCAGTGTCTGGTGGTTTTTCTCCAGGAGTGCTCTCCGTACGCCGCCCACCTGTTCGATGCCGAGGACCCCTACACTCCCGTCAGAGAGTTGCCGGGCCTCTGCTCCGGATTCTGCTCCAAGTTGCACGGTAAATGTGGCCACGTGGTGAAATATCTAACGGAGAACCGGCTGCTGCAGGACACGTCGCAGCGAGACGCTTCCACCTTCTGCAGCCTGGTGGACCTACAGGACCAGGACTACTGCTACCCCAACGTGCTGCAGAGCTCCAACCTCAACAGCAACCTGGGCCGCGTGGCCGAGGACCCCCAGGGCTGTCTGCAGCTGTGCCTGACGGAGGTGGCCAACAACCTGAGGAACCCGGTGCTGATGCTGCACAGCGGAGACGGCACGCATCGCATGTTCATCGCAGAGCAGGTGCTGTTTGAAGGGGCTCTGCTCAGCTTTTAGAGGGTTTTATCTTCCCGGTAGTCAGTGTGTTCGTTTGGTTTGTGTGCATGTAAATGGTCTGCAAACGCCTCCATTGGACTCCTTTGTTTACTTCCTGAACATAGTGACATCATTATGGGACACTGGCGCTTCTATTGGCTGGCTCTCTAACACATTGTTTGTGATAGACTAAGGGGCGGGACATCTCTAAGCAGTTGATCAATCACAACAGAGCCGGCCAGCTAACCAATCAGAGTGTGGCATTTCTCTAGTCTTAAATGCATGCAAGGGCGAATGAAGTTAAGTTCACAGAGTCTATAATTTACTACTATTAAACAGGCATTGTGAAAGATATTACATTCAGCCTGAAGCGGTGAGTTCTCTCTCCTGAAAGCTTCTATGATTCTTATTACCACGCTCATTAAGACGTTCCCTCCCAGGTGGGCTTTGTGTGGGTTTACCTGCGTGACGGCAGCCGGCTGGAGACGCCCTTCCTGGATCTGAGCGGGGAGGTGATGACCACGGGCTGGCTGGGGGACGAGAGGGGCTTCCTGGGCATGGCTTTCCACCCAAAGTACAGAGACAACGGACGCTTCTTCATTTACTACTCCATCCTGGTGGACAGCAAGCTGGAGAAAGTGAGGGTCAGCGAGATGAAGGCGTCCGAACACGATGTGAACGTGGCCGACCCGAACTCAGAGAGGTACGCTGAGCAGTGTTTGGGTGTGGAGGAAATTCTTAAAGGTCCCCTATTATACTGTTTTTCATCAATATATTATAGGTCTCAGATATATCCAGAGCCTGTCTCTGATTGGCTGAAACACCAAACAGATCATTGCAGCATCCCATAATCCCCTCTGTTTCAACCCTGTTTCCAAAGTGCTGATTCTCTGTCTGTTACTTTAGATGAAAATAAGGAGCCCCTCCCCACGCCCCTCTGAGAGAGATTTGGTTAAAAAGAACACAATGGTGCTCTAGGAGGAGATTCAGGTGATAAGGGGGGGGGGGGGGGGGGGGGCTACCTTGGTTGGTGATTGGCTAATGGTTACACAAGACAAAACATCGTTATGACATCATAAAGTGGCCAAAATCTGATCAGCTCATTTTCAGACAGGTTTTTATATAAATGGATCAGGACAAAAAGAGAGAGAATCTTTGTTCCTGAAACTTTCAGAATCTCTTTACACAGAGGGGACACATGTTAAGACATGAAAAAGTGGATTTTGCACAATAGGTGACCTTTAAGAGAAACTGATAGATGATTTATGGACAAAGTTTGTCTTTTGTTATATTTAATAAAGTAATAAAGAAAGTCAATATATAATATAATAAGTCAGTGAAATCGATCTCAAATGCAGGAACAGAGCAACTTCATCCTCAGAGGATAAAGAAGTTCTGCTTACAGTCCTGCTATATATTCATGAAAGGAAACAACTGGTCCTCCATCCCATCATTAAACCATTAAACCCCCAGTCCTTAACCATTTACAAATCCCCCTTTTACTTCCTTTTGCTCCCCTGAAATGTAAAACCTTAACATATGTCTCTGTTAAACACATACAATACTAAAAATACAATTCAACAGTGTAAAAGGCAATCAGAGTATAAGACTATATGTTTTAATGATTATATGATAATTTGACACGACACTGGGGTAGTTACTCAAACACTTACTTTACTAAATGACTCACTGCAGAAAGTAATTAGTTATACTACTAGTTACCTTACATTTTGACAAATGTAGTTCTTAGTAACTGTAATGTGTTACTGCTGTAATCAACAGTAACTCTTTACTCTGTTACAGACAAATGTCCCTCTGATTACAGTTACTTTGTAGAGTGTAATCAGAGGACGTTTGTCTGTAACACAGTCAAGTGTCAGTGTTGGGTGTTTTGGATGATGATGAGGAAGATGCTCTGATGTAATTACCCATTGAAAGACATAGTCACCCCCTCCAGGGCTGTGCTGTGCATCAACATGTTTTCTGCTGCATATCACAACCAAAACCCTAAAGCATCGGCTCTTAAAGGTGGGGTATGTCATTTTGGAGAAACCGGCTCGAGTGCGCTAGAATTTGAAAATACACAACCGTAAAAAATCTGCCACTTCCTTACAGAGCCCCTCCTCCAACACACACGAACGCGCACATGACCAATGAGGGCACGAGATAAGTTTGTGCACAGATGGAAGGCTGACAGGCAGGTAGGCCATCCAGTTATTTTAGCCGGGCCGGCTCAGATGATTGGTCGTGCTTTTTACAGCGCCACGGCTTCCACAGATGACATTTTTTAATGTATTTATTGTCAAAGCATTTAATATATTCATTGCTATCGGGATGTTAAGAGCATTCCATGGAATATAACAAAAACTGTTTCTGAAATAAATGACATACCCCACCTTTTAAGAGATAAAACCTGAAGGAACACTTAAGAATCGTAGCAACCTGATATCTATTCCTGAAAGACAACAAATATAACCTCTAGTAAACTGTGATTGAACACAACTTTCAGCAGAGGTGGGAAGTAATGGAGTACAAATACTTCGTTACTGTACTTATTACATTTTTCTGGTATCAGTACTTTACTCCACGACTTATGTTTCTGGTGACTGTTTACTTTGACTTCTTTCTCACATTTTGAACACAAATACCTGAACTTTCTACTTCTTACATTTTGAACACAAATACCTGTACTTTCTATTTCTTACATTTTGAACACAAATACCTGTACTTTCTACTTCTTACATTTTGAACACAAATACCTGTACTTTCTACTTCTTACATTTTGAACACAAATACCTGTACTTTCTACTTCTTACATTTTGAACACAAATACCTGTACTTTCTACTTCTTACATGTTGAACACAAATACCTGTACTTTCTACTTCTTACATGTTGAACACAAATACCTGTACTTTCTACTTCTTACATTTTGAACACAATACCTGTACTTTCTACTTCTTACATTTTGAACACAAATACCTGTACTTTCTACTTCTTACATTTTGAACACAAATACCTGTACTTTCTACTTCTTACATTTTGAACACAAATACCTGTACTTTCTACTTCTTACATGTTGAACACAAATACCTGTACTTTCTACTTCTTACATGTTGAACTCAAATACCTGTACTTTCTACTTCTTACATTTTCCAAACAGGCTGGTTCCTTTAGTTTGAATGTGTGTTTGGTGGCGTGATCATTATTATTTAGAGTCATTGCGTGCCTATTGATTTGAACACGATCCGTGTATCCATCATTTCCTGGTCTTCTCTAAAGAAGAGGGACCAATGAAAACGTTGTCATGTTGCCGTTGTTCAGCATGGAAACATTCATTAGCTAACAATGACATTATTGTTCTATTAATATAAAGGGAGGTCAGGTACTCTTTAAAACAGCTGCTAGTTATGGGTACTTTTTACTGAAGTACATTTCAAAGCCTCTTTACTTTTACTTAAGTAAAGAAGTTTAGTCAGTACTTCTACTTTTACCAGAGTATTTTTAAACACGAGTATCTGTACTTCTACTTGAGTAAAGGATGTGTGTACTTTTCACATCTCTGACTTCCAGGGTCATTCTGGAGATCGAGGAGCCGGCTGCGAACCACAACGGAGGCCAGCTGCTGTTCGGACTCGACGGATATTTGTACATCTTCACCGGAGACGGGGGAAAAGCCGGAGATCCGTTTGGGAAGTTTGGCAACGCACAAAACAAGTAAGAACATCCTCAAACCAAAACAGCCCTATCAGTTACTTAAAGAGGCCTTTTAATGAGCCTCTACTGGGACATGTCTCCATGCTTTCATGTTCAAAAAGCTCTTTATTTTTCTCATACTGCCTGTGCTGCAGCACCTCTTTTCACCCTCTGTCTGAAACCAGAGCCCAGTCTGCTCTGATTCGTTAGCTGGCCGGCTCTGTTGTGATTGGTCAATCCAATGGAGGTGTTTCATGCGCATTTACATGCACAAAAACCTTGAGTGAAAACCCCAAACAGCTAAATAGGCCCCCCTATACATTTAAACTGGATGCCTTAATTGATGATTAGAAATTGAAATCAAAATATGAATTAGCTAACTTCTAACGAGCTACATTAATATTAATTATAGTGATCTTTTTCCAAAATGTAACCATTGCAGTTTCAACCACTTTCTAAATGGTACTACGGTTTAAATATCTCTGCTTGCTTCATGTTTAGTTTTTTATTTCAACTTCTGGTGCTGACTTTTTAGGATGTCTCTCTATCAAACAAAAATAATTCTCAATAAATATTAAAAGCTAATCCACAATCTATCTACACGTTATAAATAGTCTGGTCTAATAATAAGAAATGAAAACGAAAATATGAATTAGCTTAGATAACTTCTAGCCAGCTGCAGTAATATTACTTATAGTCATCTTTTCCCAAAGTTTAACCACTGCTTTTCACAATCTCAACACTTTCTAAGTAGTTTGAAATAGCTCCTCTTGCTTCATGATTAGTTTTAATTTCAACTTGGTGTGTTCGGGTGTTACGACTGAGGATGTCTCTCTATCCAACTAACATAAATATCAATAAATCTGAAAGCTAATCCACAATCTATCTACACGTTGTAAATCCTCTCTTCCCCTCCCAAGGAGTGCTCTGCTGGGTAAAGTCCTGCGTATCGATATCGATGTAGACGGTGGTGACCCCGGTGCTCTTCAGTACCGGATCCCCCCCGATAACCCGTTCCTCGGAGACCCCTCTTCCCGCCCCGAGGTGTTTGCATACGGGGTCAGGAACATGTGGCGCTGCTCCGTGGACCGCGGGGACCCGGGGACTCTGCAGGGCCGCGGGAGGATGTTCTGTGGAGACGTGGGTCAGAACCGCTACGAGGAGATCGACATCATCGTGAAGGGCGGGAACTACGGGTGGAGAGCCAAGGAGGGCTTCGAGTGCTACGACGTGAAACTGTGCCAGAACTCCTCCTTAAGTCAGTAATTTCTGATAAATATCAAAAGTTATTGTTCAGGCGCTTTAACCTCTTTCAGCTTGAGTCTGCATTGTCTGCAAGAATCTGTCATGAATGGACTTTTCATCCAGTTACAAGCTTTATTTTTACAATACACTTCATAGATATTGGTGGTTTTACCTCTTAATGCTTTAAATTGCTTCAGGGTCATACTTTTTTTAAAGATTTTAGTCATGGGAAGTCTGAGTCTGAAGTTATCAGAGAAAAAAGCTAAGCTAATGTTGGCAGCAGACAACATTAGCATTGTAAAAACACTGAATTTGAACATGAAGCTGATGTATTTAATGGTTTTCAACTGTTTTAATCTACAGATTGGTTTGTTTTAATGTTAAGGAGACATCTAAACATAGTTTGGCTCAATGTGAAATCAGCCTGACCATCTGGATCTTAAGTTATCAGAGAAACAAGCTTAACAAACGTTAGCGGTAGCGAGAAATCAACACTGATTCTTAATGTAAAACTGCTTTATTCAGTGTTTTTGATGGAGGATACATTTGTTTTAGAGAGGAGGAGACATCTAAGGATAATTCAGCTCATGGTGAAATCGTCCTGATTTTAATTTAAGAGAAACAAGATTAACGAACAAAAGCAAACCTCTGCTGTACGACGGTTTCCCGCCAAGCCACATAAAAAATAAACTGCTTTATTCAAGGTTTATACATATATTATGTATAAGTGTGTCCACATGTTGGAGAGGAGAAGACCTCAGCAGATACTTTGGCTCTCGTAAAACACCTCAAAACTCCATATTTTCTTACCTTTTTGATTAAGAGATCCTGCCTCCTAACCACCTGTTATTTTGATCACTTTCAATCTAATTTTGGTTCTTCAGATTGTATTTAAATCTTCTCTCTCTCTCCTCGACAGATGACGTCCTTCCTATATTTGCGTACAGCCATCATGTTGGGAAGTCTGTGACGGGGGGGTATGTGTACAGAGGATGTGAATCACCCAATCTGAACGGCCTGTACTTCTTCGGAGACTTTATGAGTGGGTAAGAAGAGTTGATCTACGCCAATAAAAGATACTTTTCAGAAGACAAGGAACAGCTTGTTTGCTCAGCTGTTGTATAAAAAAACGTGCATTTCTGAATGACTAGTACAGAACTAAGGGGATCACGTCTGTCCAGATTAAATTGATTTCCAAAAGTGAAGGATGATACGGTGGCCCTGAAGGTCCAAACTCAAATATATTTCACAAAACATTTACAAGAATTTCCACAAAAACAATACAAAATTCATAAAACTCAACAACATTTCACAAATACACCCAAAACATAATGCATAAAATAATGGAAAAAAAAACACAATTAAAGTAACAGTCAAGTAAACAACAATACAGTACAGTACTGTATATTTAAATATATAAAATAAAGCTAAGTATAGTTCAAATCAACATTATAGGCTGTATACAAATACAGTTATGTCCTTTAACTTAAACCTGTGTTATATAATGCTTTCTGTTCAAAGTTAAACTACAGGGTGTTTAACATTTTAAACAAAAACGAACATGTCACATTAAACAAGGGGGCGTGTGGCGCAGTGGATTAGTGCGTTGGTGTTGGGATCAGGGGGGCACAGGTTCAAACCCCACTGCAGTCAGCATGTCATTGTGTCCCTGAGACACTTCACCCCAAGTTGCTCCTGTGGGGATTGTCCACAGTATTGAGTATGTTAGTCGCTTTGGATAAAAGCGTCTAACAAGTAACAAGTAATGTAATGTAAAAACAAGAGGAGATTGAAATACATTTTAGAGGATTAATCAATCAATCAATCAATGAATGTTTATTTATATAGCCCAATATCACAAATGTTACATTTGCCTCAGTGGACTTCACAGTTTGTTCAGAATATCAGTATGACAATACGACCCCCTCTGTCCTTAGACCCTCACATCGTACAAGGAAACACTTCCAGAGAAACCCCACAGTTTAAAGGGGAACATGGGAGAAACCTCAGGGAGAGCAACAGAGGGGGGATCCCTCTCCCAGGACGGACAGACGTGCAATAGATGCCGTGTGTAAATCCAAGAGATAATACATTTTACAGCGTAGGTAGACCAAATGTTTGGAAATGCATGTGTCTATAATAAGAAGATGAATCCACGAGGATGTCAACAATCCTGTGGGAGCCATCAGGGAAGTAGTATGATGAGAGTCAGGCAGGACCGCAGAGACCGGTTCAGCCACGACTCGAACCTTGGTTGCTGATTGGCTAATTGTTACACAAGCCACAAAATCGTTATGACATCATAAAGTGGCCGAAATCTGATCAGCTCATTTTCAGACAGGTTTTTATATAAATGGATCAGGACAAAAAGAGAGAGAATCTTTGTTCCTGAAACTTTCAGAGTCTCTTTCCACAGAGGGGACACATGTTGATGTAGAGGAGACATGAAGAAGAGGGGACACATGTTGATGTAGAAGAGACATGAAGAAGTGGATTTTGCATAATAGGTGACCTTTAAATGTGTCCTTGCAGTCGCATCATGGCGTTGGAGGAAGACAAGACGACGGGCAGCTGGAGGGAGAAGAGTGTTTGTATGGGAGAAACTAAGACCTGCTCGTTTCCAGGACTCATCAACCACCACCACAAGTTCATCATCTCCTTCGGCGAAGATGAAGCCGGTAACGACTATTCTCATCTCTATAAATCATGCATGAAGATCCATAGCTGAGTTTAAGTAGATTTACCATGGTCTAAGGATGCTTCTTTACATGTAAAATGTGATTTAAGTCGAAGTACAGAAGCACGGTACTGCATCATTACATTAAAGCATGTGTTTTTATATGGAAAAAGTATGCTATGTTATTCATTACTACACATGTTTTATACCAATTCTACTTCAACCATATTCAATGTAAATACTGCTATATTTTACTATATTTTTTAATGTTATTATAGTTTTCTTAAAATAGTTTTCTATCTGTGTTTTACTTTTAAGTATGCACCACAACACCAAGTCAAATTCCTCGTATGTGTCAACCTACCTGGTGATAAACCTGTTTCTGATGCTGATGAGTGGTAAATACGTAGAATGTGCTATACGTCTCTCAAAAATGTAGTGGAAGTATAAAGTACTTGAGTTGAATATCTATCCCTATATGTATTTTGTTACACTCCACTTAAGTATGAAATCATGTACTAATACTCTCCTGTTTTGTTTTCAGGGGAGCTGTATTTCCTGGCCACAGCGTACCCCAGTGCCATGTCTCCGTATGGGACCGTTTTCAAATTCGTGGACCCCTCCAGGTGAATACAGCTCACAATAAAGCATGTGATTTTAATTAAAAACATGTTTGTTTTACGTTATTATACATGGTGACATTTGCTTTCTGTGAAAAAACATCTTCCAATGCATGTGTACATTAAATTAAATGTTCTTTTAGTGACTTTTAAAGTCAAAATGTCCATGTGTTGCAGTTACATGAGAAACATTAATTCAGTGATTGTTCTCAACAGGTGTAATGATTATTTCAGTGGTATTTTTTATATTATCAGGGTGGCCGCGGGGTCTTAAAAAGTATTAAAAGTTGATAAATCAATTTAGCGAAAATGAAGGCTATTAAAAAGTATTAAACGGCATTTTCCAAGGTATTACATTTTGTAGCTTGTTTCCAATAAGTATATAAATTGTCCAAAGCGGTTGTATTCTACAGTCTGCCTGAATGTAATCATTGCGTAGGTGTGTAGTGTGATTCTGTGTAGTTTATTTATGGCATCCCGTTGGATTTGACGTCATCTGAACAGGACATCGCACGCTCACAGCTTGATAGCGCGCGAAGGTCCGTTTACGCCGGTTGTTAAACAACATCGTTATGGGGAAATGCAAGTTTGCGTCCAAATGGTTGGAAGATAAGGAGGAAGGACAATCCATACTGTATATAGTAAATGTGAGTGTCGCCAATGTAACCGGTTAGAACTCCAAGTGGCGATGAGGTTTTAAAATGTATGGAAAGGGTCTTAAAAAAGGTCTTAAAAGGTATTACATTTGACTTCAGGATTCCTGCATATACCCTGATTAAATAAATCAGTGATTGCCAGGTTTAAAGCATTTTTGTATTGCTGCCACAATGAAACCTATTGGCAGTTTTTGTGCATAAAAAGAGTTATTCATGGCTTTTCGTAATTATATTTGCATGTAAGTAGTTTACCTGCACCATTGTCTGACTTGCACTAATGTATACATACTGTAGCTGTTGTGCACATGACATTCAACCATTACAATCTTTCTTTTGTCCTAAGACAACAAATGAGACATTAGTTAATATAATGTTGTGTTTCATTTCTGCAGGAGAGCTCCTCCGGGGAAATGCAAGCAGAAGCCGCTGCCGGTCAAAGTGAGAGGGAAGAAGATTCCCTTCGTCCCTCGAGAGCGTAAGTCACTTTCAAATGTTATCACTTCTTCTTCTTCTTATAAAACGTCTTAATGGTGTTTGCATACCAGACATGTTCAGAAAGCTATTTGAAGGGGCTCCATTCTGCTCATTTTCAGGTGTATATCAGTATGAAGTGTCTCTACTTTAAAGAGTCCTCTCCTGCTGATGTTCAGGTGTATATCAGTATGTAGTGTCTCTACTTTAAAGAGTCCTCTCCTGCTGATATTCAGGTGTATATCAGAATGTAGTGTCTCTACTTTAAAGAGTCCTCTCCTGCTGATGTTCAGGTGTATATCAGAATGTAGTGTCTCTACTTTAAAGAGTCCTCTCCTGCTGATGTTCAGGTGTATATCAGTACTGTATGTAGTGTCTCTACTTTAAAGAGTCCTCTCCTGCTGATGTTCAGGTGTATATCAGTATGTAGTGTCTCTACTTTAAAGAGTCCTCTCCTGCTGATATTCAGGTGTATATCAGAATGTAGTGTCTCTACTTTAAAGAGTCCTCTCCTGCTGATGTTCAGGTGTATATCAGAATGTAGTGTCTCTACTTTAAAGAGTCCTCTCCTGCTGATGTTCAGGTGTATATCAGTATGTAGTGTCTCTACTTTAAAGAGTCCTCTCCTGCTGATGTTCAGGTGTATATCAGTATGTAGTGTCTCTACTTTAAAGAGTCCTCTCCTGCTGATGTTCAAGTGTATATCAGTATGTAGTGTCTCTACTTTAAAGAGTCCTCTCCTGCTGATGTTCAGGTGTATATCAGTATGTAGTGTCTCAACTTTAAAGAGTCCTCTCCTGCTGATGTTCAGGTGTATATCAGTATGTAGTGTCTCTACTTTAAAGAGTCCTCTCCTGCTGATGTTCAGGTGTATATCAGTATGTAGTGTCTCTACTTTAAAGAGTCCTCTCCTGCTGATGTTCAGGTGTATATCAGTATGTAGTGTCTCTACTTTAAAGAGTCCTCTCCTGCTGATGTTCAGGTGTATATCAGTATGTAGTGTCTCTACTTTAAAGAGTCCTCTCCTGCTGATGTTCAGGTGTATATCAGTATGTAGTGTCTCTACTTTAAAGAGTCCTCTCCTGCTGATGTTCAGGTGTATATCAGGATGTAGTGTCTCTACTTTAAAGAGTCCTCTCCTGCTGATGTTCAGGTGTATATATCAGTATGTAATGTTCAAAAAGCTCTTTATTTTTCTCATGCTGCACCTCTTTTCACCCTCTGTCTGAAACCAGAGCTCAGTCTGCTCTGATTGGTTAGCTGGCCGGCTCTGTTGTAATTGGTCAACCGTTTAGAGATGTCCCGCCCCTTAGCCTATCACTTACAATGTGTTTGAGCGCTAGCCAATAGGAGCACTACATGGTGATGTCACTGTCATGAATACATTATTATCAGATAAAAAAATGTTTGAATAAAATGAATAAGAAATTATTTAATTGATATACAAATAAAAACAAGTAAAAATACACAAACAAATTCAACATTTTTACATTTAAATTAGGAAATATTTCTTCCATCATTATTTATTTATTCACAGTTTTAATCATGTGGTTAAAATATTATTATTTAAAAAGATTGTGTATACTGAATATTTTTGATACTTGTATTTCTACTTTTACTCGAGTAAAGGCTCAAAGTACTTTTTCCCCATCTGGATTTTTTGGCGTGTATTTATATTAAGGTGCGCTAAATATAAACGACTCACACATAGCTTATAATTAAGTAAATTACATTGATGTTAGAGGTTTTAAGTAATTAAAGAAATCTGTTCTGGAAGACCAACAAACTGCTTACATTCACATTTTTCTCTCTCTTGTCATCTCAGCAGTAACGTTTTTTTTAATGTCTGCACACTGCCAAATTGTAAAATGGCATTGAGGTTATACTTTATATAAAAACTATAAAAAGCTCCTCACATCAAACACACTTAAAATAATGAGACAAAAGAGGAAAGACATTTCAAACATGCAGGTTTGTTTTTGGAGTTGTTTGTATTTGGAGACTTTATGAGTGGGTAAATAGGGTCAGCCAAAACAGAACGTATTTTCAGAAGTAAAGGAACCGCATGTTTGCTGAGCTGTCGTAAAGTGTGTTGTATTTAAAGAAAGAAAGAAAGGAACCTGCATTTTTGTAATGACGGGAACTGGACTCCAGTCTGTCGTCGGTACATACTGATATACACCTGAACATCAGCAGGAGAGGACTCTTTAAAGTAGAGACACTACATACTGATATACACCTGAACATCAGCAGGAGAGGACTCCTTAAAGTAGAGACACTAGATACTGATATACACCTGAACATCAGCAGGAGAGGACTCTTTAAAGTAGAGACACTACATACTGATATACACCTGAACATCAGCAGGAGAGGACTCTTTAAAGTAGAGACACTACATACTGATATACACCTGAACATTAGCAGGAGAGTACTCTTTAAAGTAGAGACACTACATACTGATATACACCTGAACATCAGCAGGAGGGGACTCTTTAAAGTAGAGACACTACATACTGATATACACCTGAACATCAGCAGGAGAGGACTCTTTAAAGTAGAAACACTACATACTGATATACACCTGAACATCAGCAGGAGAGGACTCTTTAAAGTAGAGACACTACATACTGATATACACCTGAACATCAGCAGGAGAGGACTCTTTAAAGTAGAGACACTACATACTGATATACACCTGAACATCAGCAGGAGAGGACTCTTTAAAGTAGAGACACTACATACTGATATACACCTGAACATCAGCAGGAGAGGACTCTTTAAAGTAGAGACACTACATACTGATATACACCTGAACATCAGCAGGAGAGGACTCTTTAAAGTAGATACACTACATACTGATATACACCTGAACATCAGCAGGAGAGGACTCTTTAAAGTAGAGACACTACATACTGATATACACCTGAACATCAGCAGGAGAGGACTCTTTAAAGTAGAGACACTACATACTGATATACACCTGAACATCAGCAGGAGAGGACTCTTTAAAGTAGAGACACTACATACTGATATACACCTGAACATCAGCAGGAGAGGACTCTTTAAAGTAGAGACACTACATACTGATATACACCTGAACATCAGCAGGAGAGGACTCTTTAAAGTAGAAACACAACATACTGATATACACCTGAACATCAGCAGGAGAGGACTCTTTAAAGTAGAGACACTACATACTGATATACACCTGAACATCAGCAGGAGAGGACTCTTTAAAGTAGAGACACTACATACTGATATACACCTGAACATCAGCAGGAGAGGACTCTTTAAAGTAGAGACACTACATACTGATATACACCTGAACATCAGCAGGAGAGGACTCTTTAAAGTAGAGACACTACATACTGATATACACCTGAACATCAGCAGGAGAGGACCCTTTAACAAACACACTGAATACAAAATGAATACATTCAGGTAGAATAACACCAGGTCTGTTTTTTGGAGTTACATATTGAATCCAGGGTTAAGAAAATGCAACATGTGCATCTTTTAAATTGTGTAAACTGGTACTTCCCTTTTCAGTGACTGTGTTGGACACAAACGAAATACCAACGAGACCACCACCGAGAAAATTCAAACTCACCGACAAACCAGCGACAACGCCGAGCCTCGTCACGCCTGCAACGACCACAACATCGACCTCATCGTCCACGTCGACCACAACAAGCACGACAAGTACGATAACCACTGTTGTGAAGCCCAAATGGAAAACCCTTGACAAGAAAGCGAAGAAGACGAAGTTGCAGCCATGGAAGAAAAATAAAAAGCTGAACCAGCAGCAGAAGAAGACTCTGAAGAAGAGATCCAAGACGAGCGTAAGAGACAAACCAAAACCAAAAGCAACGGATGATTTAAAAAGCAACGCTCTAAAAAACACAAACAGCCCGAAGAATCGCACAATCCTGCACGAGAGGAACAGCTTCAAGTGGAAGAAATCACAGAAGCACGAGTTCACGAACAAAACTCAGACAGACTTGAACGTGAGAACAAACAGAACAATGCAAAATGCACTCAAGGTGAAAAGGAAGCAATCTAAAAATGCAAAAGCACTTTAAAATATTTATTCTGTTATTATTTGTATTTGTTTTAAAGGAATTGTTTGAGATTTTTTCGGAAATGTGCTTCGCTTTTGTCCCGAGGAATATATTTATGGAAGGTTAAAAAGGCCAAACTTTAATATATCAGTACTTAAAGAATATAAAGGAATAATGAGCAAATTGATGAATAAATACACAAATAAATTCAACATTTCTGCATTTAATTAGAAAAATATGTATCTACTGTGACAATAACTCAGCTGCCGGGGTTCTCACACGCACCGAGCGCTGGCAGCACATCACCCCCACTCTCTTCAACCTCCACCGGTCAAGTCCTGCATCACCTACAAACTCCTCCTCGTCACCTACAAGTCCCTCCGTGCCCTCTCCCTCACAGATCTCCTCCACGCTTACATCCCGTCCCGCACCCTTCGATCCTCAGACTCCGGCCTGCTCTCCCTTCCCCATTCACGCCTCCGCACCTTCGGGGACCGTGCCTTCAGTGTCGCTGCCCCCCCCGCACCCTCTGGAACTCCCTCCCTGCTGAAATCTGTAACGCCCCTTCTCTGAACATCTTCAAATCAACCCTGAAAACTCATCTGATCAACATTAACTCACTCTTCCCCATCTGCAATGTAACACTTCCATTTCTGCCCCGTTTTATGTTTTGTCCTTATATGTTTCTTTGTTAAGCGACCTTGGGTTGATGAAAGGCGCTATATCAATTAAAGTTATTATTATTACTTATTTAAGCTTGTAAATTATACAATAAGGCATGTTTTTGATATTATCATACAGTACGTTACGTTTTGTCCCTCTAAACTCTCCATTTAGATGAAACGTGAGCTGTATTAATCTTATTTAACGCTCTGTACAATTTCTAAAATGTTAAAGTATTCCTTTAAAGTTCAAAGCACAACTGTTGCACGCAATCATGCATCTAACGACTCCTTACACTTTATTTTGTGATTTAACTACCACTCTTTCTGTATTTAAATCACTTAAATCAGTTGGAAACACGATCCAGATTTCTTTATTTTTAACCGCAGAGCTCCAATTTTACACATGCAAATAAACATGTTAAAAATATGTGTGTGTGTGTGGCCTAGCATTACCATCCTTGTGGGGACCTAAATCTGTTTACACAGTCACGTGTGGGGACTCGCGCCCCTTAAGGGGACATAATGGAGGTCCCCATGAGGGGAATCATTCATTTTAGGGTGAACACTTGGTTAGGGTTAGGGTAAGGCATGTGTTGGTTATGGTTAAGGTAAGGATAAGTCTCCAGGAAATGCATGTAAGTCAATGTAATGTCCCCTGAAGTGATGTATACCGTGTGTGTGTGTGTGTGTGTGTGTGTGTGTGTGTGTGTGTGTGTGTGTGTGTGTGTGTGTGTGTGTGTGTGTGTGTGTGTGTGTGTGTGTGTGTGTGTGTGTGTGTGTGTGTGTGTGTGTGTGTGTGTGTGTGGTGTGTGTGTGTGTGCCTGCAGCTCTCTGTAATTGAGCTCCTCACCACTCATCATGACTTAAACCGCTGTGTCTCGTATAATCACAGCTGGACATGTAAAGCCACACTGAGGTTTCATACATCTCTAAATGTAGTTTCCGTGCTGCCAATATTCAGACACAAGTTATGTTTTATATAAAGAAACAACTCTTTTATAACTTGAGGTTTTGATTCTGGTGAAACAGATCTAGCCCAAGCTTCATGAACGCTTTCATAACGCTAACATAAGACGACATTACACAACCTGACGTGACATAATCTCACTGTACCAGGACATATTTAAAGGTTTTGGTTTGTTACTCATGTGAAACTGTTAACCTACGAATTGAAGTCGTACCATGTACTTTAACACCATCTACCATGACATGGCATACATTTACCATACAGTACCATGCAAGTACATAACATGGGTTTTACAAAAAGTATATTGTTTTGTTGTATTGTGTTTGTTTGTTTTAGTTCAAGTTGAGTCTGGTGTGAATGATTTATGTCCTCTACGATTAAAATGAAAATACAATATACTGATAATAATGTACTATGAGAAAATATAGCATAAACTCAACCGGCCAGTGCATATCACACCATGGCAAAGGTTAACCTTATAGGCTCTAGAATGACATTGAAATCATGGCATGATATAAATGTACTCTTCTATAACATGACCTACACGTATGATTCCTTATCATGACATATGCATTCTCAGTACCATGACAAAAACGTACTTTTCCATACCTTGACATACAGTACTAGTTTTCTATAACATAACATGGCATTCACTTACCACACAATACCATGGCATGATGTAAAAACATACCACAGTATTGTTAGGGAATAATTTGCTTAGGTATTCAACCTTTGTCCCAGTTCATCATTTTCTCTTCTCACTGTCTCCTTCCCCACGGCATAGGTCTACGGCCTTGGGTTCTGCTGCTATCTCTCGTAAGGAGTAGCAGCTTGGGCGCATTGTTGTTGCCAGTCTATGACCGAGCACAAGCCGCCATGAGGTAGTTTACTGTTCAGGGACGAAGGTTCCCTGGCGCCCATTCTTTTCTATGGACGAGAGCTCTAGTTAGATTCAGGGTCCATATTTGTTTGTATGTACACTGAACTAGTTAAAACCTCAAATTACAGAAAGAGTTCTTCAGAATTGGTTTGGCAACCGCTGTGTCAACTCGTGACACACCACATGTCTTGTCAATTCTCCGGCCGTAACTCCAAATAAACCGTCAGTGTTTGCCATCAAAGCTCCAGCTCTCCTCGTGTCTCTTTGAGTCCTGACTCTCCATTGCTACAGAAGTTTCCCCCACAAGTATGACATACCATGAGAATACAAATTAGACAGATGTCATGCATACAAAAAAACATCTGCTCCTGCATTATAGAAATAGAAATAATGTTGTTTCATCATCAGGTCTTGTTCTTCTCTTGTTAGATTTCAGTGAAGCTTCGTCTCAAAACAAAGCAGAATGAAATGAAAGTATTTCTCTAAGGTGACGCTAGTCTGGAAACTTTCGGGGTTCTTCCCCACATCACTCCTCACATCTCGCACCTTTATTTAAAGTGGTGGAGGGTTTGTAAATATACAGGGTTGCACTCATATTAAATGTGCGTCTAAATGTGTCCTCTATGCGTTTTTTTAACCCGGGACCCAGCAAATTACAGACCCCCGTAACTACTCGTTTGTGCTGAAACGTCCCTGATTGGAATAAAAACACACGGCGTGGCGTTTTGGACTTTCAACTTCGTGTTTCAACACATTTGTTTCCTCTAAAGTTTGAAACACAACAGCTCGTTTTTGTCATTACCCGAGGCAGTTTGGACCCTTAGAGGGGGCACTTTACGTCTGAAGAAGCTCTTTACTGTCACGTGAAATCACACACAACATGAAGAGGGTGTGTGGAGCTTTCAGTGTCTTTTTTGTTGAATTCCTTGCAGTTAAGTTGACATGTAAGAAGCTGCTCTTAGAGGAAGTAGGTGACAGGATTTTCATGTTAGATTTTAGCCCAAGGTAATGATTAGAACCCAAAATGAGCATCCAGCTTTCTGTGTCGGGGACAAACGTACAATTTGTAGAGCCTCCGAGTCACGGCATGATTACTGATCGGGGATATTTGGCAGAGGACCAAGGGCTCCATAGGTTTGGGGGCCCTGAAGGAGAGGCTAGTATTTCTTGTTGGGAAGTCACAGAAGGGACAAAAAGAGCCACAAAACTACCACAGAGACATAGGACTCAAAATGTCTGAAAAGATGCGTCGTAAGAGACACAGAATTACTAGAAAGAAAACGCAAAAAGGCCACAAAAGGTGAGAATCTCCTCAGAAATATGCAAAACGACCAAAAAGAGACACAAAAAAAGCCAACTAGGAGACACAAGAGGACTACAAAGAGGGACTAAGAGCAAAACACAGGCCCAAATCAACCGGAGACAAAAATAATCTAAAAGAGACACAAAAATCACCACCAACAATCAAAAAGAGGCACAGAGAGAGACGCAAATGTCCACCAAAATATGTAAATAAACCAAAAAAAGAGACACAAAACAAGCCAGGAGACACAAAGAGACAAAGAAGAAACTTAAAATGTCTAAAGCAGGGGTTTAGACACAGTGGGCCAAAAATACACAGTGGGCCAAAATAAAAAAATGGGTACTAGTCGAGGGCCGGACTGGTTCAATGTTTATTGCAGAACTTATTGAAATGAACTTATTGCACATATTAAACCTGGAACTAACAAAGCTTAAATGATTGCCTATAAAAACAACATTAAACATTAAATAATCAGTTGCATTCATTTCTTATGAGTACATTTTTCCACAGGCCAACAACAGCTTCAAAAAAACTATTTCCCTCAAAGAAAAAACCAAACATGCCCTGTTGTCTCAAGAAACAAAGTGCAGAAGGAAACATCCATGTAAACTCAGTGTGCTGCTCTGTGATGCTAGTTCAAGCCAGATACTTGGCATCTCATCTTGGGTGCAAGTTCATCAATGTTTGGGGTCAGGCTCTGAGCTGAGGAGATCCTCAGGATTGAGTGAAGGTGTGCGTGCAATATACCGGCGGGCCAGATCTAATAGTAATTAGAAATTATCTTGCGGGCCGAAATTCAATCCACCAAGGGCCTGATTTGGCCCCCGGGCCTTGAGTTTGACACATGTGCTCTAAAGAGATGCATCTTTACGATAAAAGACACACCAATGGAGGACACAAAGATGCAAACCAACCAAAAAGAAACACAAAGCATAGAGGTGACAATTCAGGTATTCTTTAATTCAAGCACCGGTAGTGTTACAAAACAACTGATATCACATATACAGTATGCAGTCAAAATAACCAACAATACATGTTTGTTACTGTACTGTCAACAGCATTACCTCATATGTGTGAATCACAGCACCATTTGAAGACAGTGAACATTTATGTGGCTCATTTGTGCTTCTCTAGAAAATACAGCGTGCACACAACGTCTATGCAAGTGCTTTCTTCGGTGTGGATTAGCACAGTGATTATACCGTGAAAGTGTAGTTAACATCAAATCAAATCAAGTTTTATTTATAAAAGCACATTTAAAAGTGATTTTTGGTCGAGCCAAAGTGCTGTACATGTAATAACATGTAACATGTTAGTCACTCCTTTCATCAGCGGCTGATCTTGTACACGACGTCTCCGACCTGCAGGATCCCCGCCTGCTTCACGATGAGCAGCTGTCCGAACAGAGGAGACTTTTGGTAGATGTGCTGATCCGAGGGTTTGCACAGGCGATAGCTGTGAAAGAAATGTAATCAGGAAGAGTTTTAAGGCTTTTAGTGTGAAGTCAGACAGGAAAAAAGATAGTTTTAGTTTTTAGAAATACACTTCCTTGAGGGAAAGAGTCCACTTTGGTGCGTTTGACTGACCAAACTCAATGATGCTATATATAAATACTTAAATAGTTGTTCAAGTCAGTACTGAGAAAAACAGCCAAATGTTAAGCTTTGAATTTGGATTGCATGAAATCAGATCAGCCAAGTAATTAATTAGAAAGTTGTCAGAAGAATAATCGGCAACTATATTTGTAATAAGTTAACTGTTATATGCAAGAAAATGTCAGAAAATGCTGTTTCCAGCCTCTGAAATATAGATATTTGCTGCTTTTCTCTGTTTTATATCAAATTATGTGAATATGGACTGACAAAACTTTGAGAACCTAGGATGGACGTTATTCACCATTTACTGATATTTTATATATTAAATGATTAATCAACAATGAAAACAATCCTAAATTGCAGCCATACATGAAACACAAATGTTCCTAATTTATGCTGAAGTGTGATGGTGCCGATTATAAACATTTGTGATTAGAAAAATACACTTCCTCTTATAATATTTGAGTCGAATTTTACCTTTTCAGTGTGTCCAGAGGCTCCTTCCTGGAGATCACTCCCGTTTCAGGATCAACGGTGGTGAAAACACACCTGGAAAACATCAGAAGTCATATTTCATCCTGCAGCCACTCACAGAGGATGGAGGGGTCTGTATTCATTGTTGTTGTGTAATGCTAAATGCTAAACCGGAAGAACTAAGGCAGGGGTGTCCAAACTACGGCCTGGGGACCATTTTGAATCGGCCCTCACTCAGCAAATTAAAAAAGTATAATGACTTAAGTATAATAAACTTCTGCTTGTCTTATATTGTACTTCTTAAATATATTATGTTCAAATATATTACACAGTATTCATGTTGACAAATTGACTCCTAAATATATTAATTGTCACATCTTACCACAAAGTCATTACACAAGTTTGGTGTTTTATAACTCACCCATTTTTCCTCAAGGACATGAACTTTAATTATTTTACTCATTGTTATCTTTAAAGGTGGGGTAGGTAATTTTGGAGAAACCAGCTCGAGTGCGCTAGAATTTGAAAATACACAGCCGGAAAAAATCTGCCACTTCCTTACAGAGCCCCTCCTCCAACACACACGAACGCGCACATGACCAATGAGGGCACGAGATAAGTTTGTGCACGAGATGGAAGGCTGACAGGCAGGTAGGCCATCCAGTTATTTTAGCCGGGCCGGCTCAGATGATTGGTCGTGCTTTTTACAGCGCCACGGCTTCCACAGATGACTTTTTTTTATGGATTTTTGTCAAAGCACTTCAGATATTCATTACTATCGGGATGTTGAGAGCATTCCATGGAATATAACAAAAAGTGTATCTCGAGCCGGTTTCTCAAACTTACCCCACCTTTAAATTCAAAAAGTATAATGAAATATGACCCACAGATGAAACTTGTGCTTGTCTTATAATGTACTTGTTAAATATATATGTTCAAATATATTACACAGTAGTATTCATGTGTTAATAAGACCACTTTTCAAATAAATTCAGTCAATTAAAGGGGACCTATCATGCAAAATGCACTTTTTGATGTCTTTCATACATAAAATATGTGTCCCCGGTGTGTCAGGGAACTCACGCAGCGTCAGAAAATAAAACCCTCTCTTTTCCTCCGTACCCAAATCTCTAAAAACGGGGCTACAACGGAGCTGATCCAGATTTGCGTCCGATATGACGTAATATCTGAAATGTGGACCCACGGCCCTATCAGAAACGTTGCTATCAGAAACAATGCCCGACGGTTTTGGACGTAATATGGTCGGTGTTTACATTAGCATCGCTAACACTCAGAGCTAACCTGTACTGGAGAGCATGTGTGTGAAGAAGCAGGATATAAAAAGGAACTCACCTTGTGGTATAACCGGCAAGAGAGAAAGCCTTTGAGCTCCATACTGTTTCAGAAATAATCCTTGATAATCCATGATATGGCGTTTCATCACGGCAGTATTTAGTTTAGACAGTAGCTGCCGGGTCCCGCATGAGCTCAGCCCCCTCCTTTTTAATTTTGTATAATTTTTTTTTTTTAAAGCTTTATACCCAAAATCAGCACTTTTGAAACAGGAAGTGAAATAGAGGGATATGAGGCATGGCTAGAATGGGTGATCTGTTTGGTATTTTGAGCAAAACACTTCATAGACATGTTTTTTATATATTTGTATATATTTGAGACCTATGCTATTGCCTAAAAATAGCATGATAGGTGACCTTTAAAGTTGAAAACATGTTCTAACAAATCTAAGTTGATAAGAAAAAAGCCCAAATACAAATGTACATAACAACCTTGAAATAAACCCTTCATATTTCCTCGTATCATAAGCAATCTGAAGCTTCGGTTTTAAGGGATGAGCTGCTAACACAATAAAGTAAACCCTATGGAGAGCTGTGATGCAGGCTATTGTGTTTCTTAAAGCATTTTCAAGTATCAAGAATAATTTACCTACATTAGATTGATTTTGCTAACTTATAACTGAACTTATGAGGCAAAATACCTCTAGTGAGCGGCCCAGCCCTTCGTATATTTTTCTGTATGTGGCCCTCGGTGAAAAAGGTTTGGACACCCCTGATCTACGGACTAACACATGCATCTGAACCGGAAGTGGGGAAAAGGAGCGGCTACATAAGGTGAAAGGATAACGTGATTAAATCTGTGTGAAGCGTCCTCTGAGTTACCGTCCACATGACTTCACACGCTGAAGCCTCACGCTGCCGATCTGGATATCTACCCACGAGTCCTGAAAAAGAGAAACAGTTTGAGTTAAATTTAGTCCGCGCCGCTCACACTGAAAAGGGTGAGGGATTAGTCACGAGAGAAAATGATCGTTTCTCCACACACGAGGGAAAACCTTCATCTGATCGTTTAGACAGTGTTTATGGTGATAAGGGATGGATTTTATAAAATACAGTTTTGACTAAATAATTGGATGTTAATATTGTAGGGTTGACTGCTTTCATTACACGATGATGTTCATGATAAATAATCCATCTTATCTTCTAAAGTGGATATAATGACTCGGGTAAGTAGTACTGGACTGTAATGCTGCCTCTTGCTAATACAACACATTTGTTTATTAACAAAGAAAGTACAGCATGCACAAGTTTACTTAAGTACACAAGTGTCAGCGTCAAAGTATACACAAAGTACAAAAAGGTTAAAATACTTTATACAATATGAATTATATTGCTTAATAATACTGATTGATGCCAGATTAAGGCTTTTTTTTTACGTTATATACTGTGTAGTTTCTTTGGAATTTCACCAATTAAGTTTATTTTATAATAATGTAATTTGTTTTCTCAGATATTGTTATTTCTTGAGCTTTTATGACAGAACAAACCTGATATTTTAAGAAGGAAAACCTCCTAATCTTTGCGGGACTGCCTTGGTGTGTTTAGATTTCTGTTCAGAGGGGTCAGGGGCCTCATTTATAAAGCCTTGCGTAGGATTGACGTGGGAAGGTTGCTTACGTAGGACAAAGAAAATAAATACGCACCGACACTTTCCGATTCATAAAAGACTGCGTACCGGCACAGGACTTGCGTGCGGCACATCCTACGCCGGTTTCCCTTTAGAAATCACAATCAACTCGAAATGCGGCGCAGCTTTTGCAGGCTTCACGTAACGCCCATATTTGCCTATAAATAGTCAAAGAAACGCCCATTCATTCATTCATTTTGACTGACTGCATGAAGAAGATCGCAGGAAATGATGACAGAACAGCTAAAAAAGACATCTCACACCGTGTCAGATTTTGGTTATTTTGGGGAGGTCGAGATAAATCATATTGTTTGGTGGATGCAGTTTGAACCAGAGTAGCAGCATGGAGGTCGGATCGTCACCAAAATAAATAAATAAGTGGTCCGAAAAATTACACATAACCTTCCTCAGGCAGTGTGTTTGTCCCGGGGACAGGAGACACCCCCTTGATGAGAAACTGTAAGAAATGATCGGGGAATCCCTCCGGGGTGGAGTCATGACGACTGGATCTGAATTATTTTGTTGTATTTGGTGGTTTGTGTTCCAGCTGTCGATCAGCAACTATATATCCATAATCCACCAGTTAAAGGAAATACAATGTGTTGTGTTATATTAGCTGTACAATTGACCACATATGGTGTTCTTAGTTTCCATACCTCCTGTGTTTTACGAGCGACTTATCAAGTAGGCATTGGCGAACGGCATAAAACACGATTAAACGTGATAGTATATAAAACCATGCTCGTATCTACAACTATAGAAAAGCAAAACGGCGTCAGTTTAGACGTAATTCTGTCCTCCTGCTTACCGCATCATTTATGAGAATACATTTCATTACATTAACACAACATATTCGAGGTGGTTTTAAATAGCATATCCGTATTTATTTATGTATCCAAGTTATGTTTTTGTGTGCACTGAGGAGTCTCAAACAGGCGTTTGTTTAATCATTTTAAGATTGGCTTTAATCAATGTTTGAAAATGAATTCTTCATATTTGATAAATGAGAGGTGACATTTTATTTATGGTATTATTTCCACATATTTCTCTCCATTCTTCCTTCTGCCAACGGTGTTGGAGTTTCTCGTCTCTCCCGTTGTTGTGCTTAGTGCGTACGCATGGGTCAGAGTTTGCGTGGAGGACCGCACATTTTCCCGTCAAGTTAGTTTTTTTATAAATCGCAAACAGTGCGTAGAAACTGGCGTACGCCATCTTTTGTGCGTACGCACCGTTTATAAATGAGGCCCCAGAGCATTATTCACAGATGTTGAAACCCACCTCAGCGAAGGCTTCACAGTCACTGATCACGATGTTTGGGCGGAAACGCTTCACAGTGACGTCTTCCTCCAGCCGGCTGCTCAGATCCTGCACGGAGGCCTCGGAGAGGAGCATCACAGGAGCCTCGTCCGGATACGCCACCTAGTGGAGAGAAATAAATCCTGTTCTTCTGCTTGGGACATTCTGGGAACACTTAAACTCTGTAAACAGCTTTAAAAAAGCAGAAAGAAAACTATTATTTTCATTTTTTTTCTCAAAACATTTTACAAATATAGTTTTAATTTGATGGCAAGGCTGTTAAGAAATCACAAAGCCAGAGGAGGGGTTGATATTGTTACCTTGGTTGCTGATTGGCTAATGGTTAAACAAGCCAAAACATCGTTATGACATCATAAAGTGGCCAAAATCTGATCAGCTCATTTTCAGACAGGTTTTTATATAAATGGATCAGGACAAAAAGAGAGAGAATCTTTGTTCCTGAAACTTTCAGAGTCTCTTTCCACAGAGGGGACACATGTTGATGTAGAAGAGACATGAAGAAGAGGGGACACATGTTGATGTAGAAGAGACATGAAGAAGAGGGGACACATGTTGATGTAGAAGAGACATGAGGAAGAGGGGACACATGTTGATGTAGAAGAGACATGAAGAAGAGACATGAAGAAGAGGGGACACATGTTGATGTAGAAGAGACATGAAGAAGAGGGGACACATGTTGATGTAGAAGAGACATGTAGAAGAGGGGACACATGTTGATGTAGAAGAGACATGAAGAGGGGACACATGTTGATGTAGAAGAGACATGAGGAAGAGGGGACACATGTTGATGTAGAAGAGACATGAGGAAGAGGGGACACATGTTGATGTAGAAGAGACATGAAGGAAGAGGGGACACATGTTGATGTAGAAGAGACATGAAGAAGAGGGGACACATGTTGATGTAGAAGAGACATGAAGAAGAGGGGACACATGTTGATGTAGAAGAGACATGAAGAAGAGGGGACACATGTTGATGTAGAAGAGACATGAGGAAGAGGGGACACATGTTGATGTAGAAGAGACATGTAGAAGAGGGGACACATGTTGATGTAGAAGAGACATGAAGAAGAGGGGACACATGTTGATGTAGAAGAGACATGAGGAAGAGGGGACACATGTTGATGTAGAAGAGACATGAGGAAGAGGGGACACATGTTGATGAAGAAGAGACATGAGAAGAGGGGACACATGTTGATGTAGAAGAGACATGAGGAAGAGGGGACACATGTTGATGTAGAAGAGACATGAGGAAGAGGGGACACATGTTGATGTAGAAGAGACATGAGAAGAGGGACACATGTTGATGTAGAAGAGACATGAAGAAGAGGGGACACATGTTGATGTAGAAGAGACATGAAGAAGAGGGGACACATGTTGATGTAGAAGAGACATGAGGAAGAGGGGACACATGTTGATGTAGAAGAGACATGTAGAAGAGACATGAAGAAGAGGGGACACGTGTTGATGTAGAAGAGACATGAGGAAGAGGGGACACATGTTGATGTAGAAGAGACATGAAGAAGAGACATGAAGAAGAGGGGACACATGTTGATGTTGAAGAGACATGAAGAAGAGGGGACACATGTTGATGTAGAAGAGACATGAAGAAGAGGGGACACATGTTGATGTAGAAGAGACATGAAGAAGAGGGGACACATGTTGATGTAGAAGAGACATGAGGAAGAGGGGACACATGTTGATGTAGAAGAGACATGAAGAAGAGGGGACACATGTTGATGTAGAAGAGACATGAAGAAGAGACATGAAGAAGAGGGGACACATGTTGATGTTGAAGAGACATGAAGAAGAGGGGACACATGTTGATGTAGAAGAGACATGAAGAAGAGGGGACACATGTTGATGTAGAAGAGACATGAAGAAGAGAGGACACATGTTGATGTAGAAGAGACATGAAGAAGAGAGGACACATGTTGATGTAGAAGAGACATGAAGAAGTGGATTTTGCATAATAGGTGACCTTTAAGTTTGGGATTTTTACCCCTAAAATTCACCACTTTAGGCAGGTTTTTATTTACCTACAATGGCCCTAACACGCGGTCGCAAAGCTGACATTAAGGTGAATATAAATGGAAAATCTTAAATAGGGGTATTCAGTCAAAGCGTTAAAATCTGGGACTCAAAGCCACACTTCACCTCGAAGGGAGGGAGCAGCGGCCCAGCGTCCTGAGACTGCCTCCCTCTCATCTGGGGTTCAAAGTGCACGAGGCGGAAGGTCTGCTCCTTCCCCAGGAACCGGGTCAGCCAGCGGGACGTTTCTTCTCCGCAGTCCCGACCCTGGATGTCCGCTCCGAAAACTCTGCAGCACAACAACAACATAATGCATACATAGGAGACAAAATAACAAGTATGGTACCAATAACATGGTATCTTTTCTGACTATCTTTGGGAAATAATAGGATCTAGAAATCCTAAAATGACAGAATTAACTGGTGTTTGAGCTGAAAAAAATGACTTTTTTGTTCCTTTTTTATCAGCAACACGACAGCACTCAAATGTATATAATATAAATAACTCTTAACTCTCATCTTCTGTTACTTTCGCCTGCAGCTTTGCTATTAGAATCTGATAAATACATTTAAAAAACCTTCTCATTTCTGTATGAAGAAAATGGTTTGGTTTATTGAAGCAAATGTACTTTAATGAGTTGTTATCCTCGTGGCTGTTTGCACCTATTGTAAGTTGGTTTGTAAATGTAATGTATTGAGAGTCAGACTCGATTAGACCCTGATGTTGGACCTGCAGTCGATCACGTTGTTGTCCAACAAAAAAATAAAAAAGTTCTCATTTATTACGAAGCCCTCAAAATGGTTTGACTTCAAATGGTTTGACTTTTTGAAGCTAATGTACTTGAAGGATTTCTTGCTGTTCCGAGTTGTTTTTATCATGGCTGATTCAGTTATTGTAAGGGGCTTTGTTTAAAAGCATCAGCTGAATGAACAGTTATGTATTGAGAGTCAGACATGATGTTGGACCTGCAGCCGATGACTCTGTTGTCGGGCTGTTTGACGGGGAATCTCAGCTCCTCCATGTCCGGGCCGCTCAAACAAACATGGCCGTCCTCGCAGGTCAGAGAGAGGAGGACCAGGCGAGGATGCTGTCGGCCCGTCACCATGTGACCATCCTCCGTCACCACCAGCCAGTGTCTGCAGGGAAACAGACATTAATACAGGAATCATACATGAAACATGGTTCTGTAAGGAAGGCCTGCAGTTTTCTGGATGTTTATTTCACTCCATATGTCCGTAGATCAGGGGGGTCCAAACTTTTTTCACGAGGGCCACATACAGAAAAATATACGGAGGGCTGGGCCACTCACTTGAGGTTTACTGCCTCATAAGTTCAGTTATAAGTTAGCAAAATCAATCAAAGGTACATGATGCGTGTGAGTGTTGGCAGCTCATCCCTTAAAACAGAAGCCTCAGAGTGATTATAATAAGGAGAAATAAGAAGGGTTTATTTCAAGCTTGTTATGTAAATAAGTCATTGGGCTTTTTTCTTATCAACTAAGATATGAAAATGTTTCCAACTTTAATTGAATTTATTTGAAAAGTGGTCTTATTAACACATGAATACTACTATGTAATATATGTTTACATGTATATTTATGAACTACAATATAAGACAAGCACAAGTTTCATTTGTGGGCCATACTCCATTATACTTTTTGAATTTGCTGAGGGCCGATTCAAAATGGTCCGCGGGCCGTAGTTTGGACACCCCTGTATAATATAGATGATTGGACAATGTAAAAAATCTGCAAGGGGAAAAAATAACAACGAGTAAAATAATTAAAGTTCATGTCCTTGAGGAAAAATGGGTGAGTTATAAAACACCAAACTTGTCTAATGACTTTGTGGTAAGATGTGATAATTAATATATTTAGGAGTCAATTTATGATATATCCGTTATCTGTTAGCTATAGATGAGAGTAACACCTACGTCACTTCCGGGCGAAAATTACGGCCCCTACTGCTATATTTAACCATATATTGAGCCCGATCTTCGATTTCCAATGATGTAATGTAATTGTTTGCCTGACTGGCCATCGTAATCGGGCTCTTTGAAGATCCACAAATCCACGGTTTTCTTAAATTTCTGATCGGATTGGCAAAAACTTCAGAATTTGTATTGAGCGCCATTCAAATGACAGCTTTGTCTTCCCCCAAAAGTGGGCGGAGCCGTACTTTTTGCCCGGAAGTGACGCATGTGTTACTCTCATGTATATCCTATCAGTTATTGTTTATCAGTTTTCTATTGTTTACATTTCTTATGGTTTTGTATTTAATTATTTAATATTTTACCTGCATCTCATTTTGTTGTGTTTGCCCTGTAACCAAATCATTTCTTAAAAGGCAAAGTGATTTTTATTTTTTAAGATCTGCAAGGATTGTAATTGAATCCAAATGTGCTCAAAATAAAAGCTTTTCCATTGGTCCACTTTGTCCTACATTAATGGATTGCTGCATTTGAATTTAGCAATTCAAATCGGTCTATTTTATAATAATGTTGGACAGTTCAAAGAACACCACTACTGAAAACAATCACTATTTATACTTGTAGGAGCCATTTTATGGTGTTGTTGGTGTCTCAGTTTACTTTATTTATATGTATAATGCAATACTATTTTGAACACTTGGTGGCTTAGCTGCACCGGGTGTATAAAAGGAGTCATAGGTGACAGGAAAGGACAAGGACACAGGAGGAAGAGCACACAGATTACACCAGACCAACTATTGACTGTAATTAAACCTTGGTATGTACAACGCTAAATAAAACATCATTCTAAACTGCAGCAATGGATCGGAAAATCATCTGTTTGTGTCTAAACCAGGGGTGTCAAACTCAATTTCATCACGGGCCACGTAGGAATTATGGTTGCACTCAAAGGGCCGGTTGTAACTTTAAGACTATATCAAAATACATAAATATTTTATATATATATATAAAATAATGCATTATATTACATGATTGCCTCTGCATTGGATTATTATCTGATAGGGTAATAACTTCTCTAGGGTAAGTAATTGCAAGTCTCTTCAGTGAGAATGTCACAAAAGTCTGCCAAATTCTGGAGAAAAAAAGTCACAAAAAAAAGGTGACATTTTGAAGAAATAAGTGACATTTTGGGGGGGAAAAAGTAACATGAAAAAGGTGACATTTTGAAGAAATAAGTGACATTTTGGGGGGGAAAAAGTAACATGAAAAAGGTGACATTTTGAAAAAAAAAGTGACATTTTGAACAAAAAAAAGTGAGAAACAGGAAATGCCCTAACTGTATGTAACAACGGTTTCAAATCAGACAAAAAATAAAAATGAATAACTAAAATAAAACTCCAAACATCTTTAATTGTGTTACTTTTTTGTAAAGCTCTTTTAGTTTTAAACCTGATGTTTATAAGCTTCTTAGTTTTTGCAACAGTGCAAATATACACAACTTTATAATAAAATGCACACATTTACCTTTTTCAAATTTGAGATGCATTATGGGACATGTAGTTTATGGGCAACGTGCTTCTGTAAATCGCCATGTAACCATATAATAAACATATCATATTCTTTCAGAGCTCTTGTGAAGTCGCGGGCCGGATTTGGCCCCCGGGCCTTGAGTTTGACACCCCTGCTCTAAACCCTGTGAAGTAATGGCAAAGGATATAGGACATTGTAACATTACAATTGCCATTACAATACTAGTATTATACTTATTTAAATGTTTATGTTGACTATTGACTGAGCCATGCAGAATCCAGACACCCTCTGTGTTTAGGTAACATTTTTATTTTGTATTCTTGGTTTTCTTGTGCAGGGTGAACTCAAACTGTCCTCTCAGCTTTTCCCTCTCATCTCACTCACATTTGTATATCATATTACAGTAGTATTTATTCTACTGTGCAGTATATAATTGAATGATTAACTTATCATATCTGCATGTATTTTTCAAATTCTTGCACCATTATGTCTAATGCACTCATTTATTTTACGTCTTTTTCTTTGCATGGTAAGAATGTTGTACGTTGGAGGAGCCTGATACTTTTTCTTTGCCAAAACTCTATGGTTATTGTGCAGATGTAAAATAAAAATATTTCCATTGATGCTATGCCACCTGATTTTCCCTCCAAGGACAAATAAAGGTTTATCTTATCTCGAGTGCTAACTTTCCACTGCCCGAAAACAATTACCCTTTAATCTCATTATCTCAGTGATCCTGCAGAAAGATAGTGTTGAAATGTTTGTTTAACTTGATATAGTGAATTTTCATTTGAATGTCAAATTTTAAGTGGTGGAAGAAGTATTCAGATGCTTTACTTGAGTAACTGCTAACTACTTAAAGTGGACCTATCATGCTATATTTGAATAATATAGTGTAGGACCATACCTATATAAGGCATATTTATACTTTTTTTTTTTCAAAATACCAAACAGGATCATGCATTTTAGCCATGCCTCATTTTCGCTCAATTTGACAGTTTTTTAGATCTGTTTTAGCAAGGGCAGATTCAGTGAGAACAGCACCATCTATAGGCCTGGCATATGTACTACAGCGTCTCCAGCGCTTTCGAACGGCAATGGCCGTGGCTGTCTCCTCCTGATTGGTGGAGTTGGCCCAATAGCCGTAGCGCCACCGTCCTGACGTCAGGACAGTGTTCAAATCTGGATCAGTTTTTATCAGATCCGTTGCAGCCCCTTTTTTTAGAGATTTGGGTATGGAGGAAAATAGAGAGGGTTGTGTTTTCTGACACTTGGTGAGTTCCCTGGAACACCGGGGACACATATTCATTTATAAAAGACGTACAAAAGTGCATTTTGCATGATAGGTCCCCTTTAAAGTATAAAAAGTGCAGAAAAGGGGCCTTCATGTGCTTTCATAATTATATTTATGTATGTGACATTTCTAGATAATATTGTTGCATCAAGTAGCAGGTTACTGTTCAAATGTACTGACAAACACATTTCTGATTGACTTTTTGTAAAATATTTTAATAATTTCACTCCTTTGTGACTTAAAGAGTTAGTCCTGGTTTAATTTAGTTAAATGTAGTGGAGTAAAATGGCTACCTTTTAAATGTAGTGGATTGGAACTATAAAGTAGCATAACATGAAAATACTCAAGTACAAGTACCTAGAAAACTACTTAAAGGTGGGGTATGTAATTTATTTCAGAAACACTTTTTGTTATATTGTTGGAGGAGGGGCTCTGTAAGGAAGTCTGAAGGAAGAGGCAGATCTTTTTCGGCTGCGTAGTTTCAAATTCTAGCGCACTCGAGCTGGTTTCTCCAAAATGACATACCCCACCTTTAAGTACAGTACTTGTAAATAAATGTACTTAGTTACTTTACACTTTGCAAATTCCTACATTAAATCAAAAGTGTGGCTCTCCAAAGCAATGATATGCACCAACAATAACAACATATTAACCTTTAACCTACCTCACTGATCCTGCAGACAACTAGTGTTGAAATGTTTGTTTAACTTGATAAGGCGAATTCATCTTTCATTTCAATGCCAACTTTTAAATTACAGCACACTTGCATCCAGAATCGCACCATAAGATCCAACTTCTTAACTCTCACCGATCCTGCAGCTCTCCAAACTTCAGGCCGATTTGGAGGCACTCCGCCAGGGGAACAGACACGGCTCTGCCAGACTTCAGCGGGTGAATGAGGAGCTGAGACACTACGCCCACACGGACTACTTTTTCGGGCTTTCGCAGGTATTTATAGCCGAGGCCGAGTCCCAGAAAAGCGACGCCGGCTCCCCCGATGAGGAGGGCGGCTTGCTTGTTTTGTGCAAACGCGTTCAGGGCCAGGGTCTTCAGCTCCATGTTGCTGGGGAACACAGCTGCTTCTCCTCGGACTCTGAACCCACACTGTCACTGTGGCCCAATCCCAAACCACGCCCTACACCCTACCCCTCCGTGACGGAGTGAACTCCGTGGAGTGAGACTCGCAGCTCAACGAGGCTCCCTCTTGTCAGATGGAGGGAGTAAATACAGCGGCAAGCTTTGGGACAAACTCCCCTCTCTCCGGCAGAAACAGGAAATGCCGTAACTGTATGTAACAACGGTTTCAAATCAGCATCTCTTAGACTAAAAATTAAAATTAATAACTAAAATAAAACTCCAAACATCTTAATTGTGTTACTTTTTTGTAAAGCTCTTTTAGTTTTAAACCTGATGTTTATAAGCTTCTTAGTTTTTGCAACAGTCTGTAAATATACACAACTTTATAATAAAATGCACACATTTACCTTTTTCTAGATCAGTGCTTCTCAAAGTGTGGTCCGCGGACCACTGGTGATCCGTGAGCGCCCCCTAGTGGTCCGTGAGTATATTGGTACAATTTCACATTTTAAATAAATAAATAAAATTAAGTTTTCCGCACTCTCGCGGGAATATCTCCGCAATGGAGCGAGCTTAAGTTTCAGTTTAAGTAAAACAAAAATGAGGTTAGCACAAGGTTTTTAACATCGCAATTTATCAGACTCGCTGTTTGAGGGCTTGATAACCCACTCCCCTTCCACACTCGTTGGTTTGGAACAGCACTTAATGTGGCTGACCCTCCGCGCGAACGCGCAAATATGCAAACGGAGAGGTAGTGTGTAGGGTGTAGGCCAAGCCCCCAGGAAGTGCGCCGGACTCTGATGAAAATATTCGTGCTGGCCAAACGGCGGTACTACACTTCCTTTTGGTTGCCAGGCCCGGAAACACTTTTTCCCATTGACTTACATGGGGAAAGAGTGGTCTGTAAATCGTTGGATAATTTTTTTTAAACTAAATAAACTACCCAGTATGAACACTTGTATAGCCCTTATTAAAAACATTCATTCCTCAAGTTGTAAAATGTGCTAATAACGTTATTCTGAGAGTTATTTCCCTCTGCATTATGAACGCGCATCTAACCCACGGGACCGCGCCGCCCGGCACGTTCATGTTACGTGTTCAGCACTACATGCGTTTATCTTTACCCATGGATGCACAATAAGAACGGACCCATATCGCCTTACTGCCAGCCCACGGAGCTGTAATAATGGATATATTGCACATGTTTGCTGTAATTCATAATTTGTAAAATATTATACTACATGGGCTGTATGATGAAATCTTGTACCGTAAATGTTGTATTAAATAAAGTTAATATTACCGACGTAGATTAACGTCCCTGTAGCTTCTTATTGCACTAAGAAGCTTATTGCACTGTGTATATATATATATATATATATATATATATATATATATATATATATATATATATATACAGTGCAATAATTCTTTCATGCTAAATGAAGCTCTGTTGCTTGGATATCACTAGATCCTGTTACAGCGTAATATAAAAGTACATAACGATTGATGTGTAAATTAGCATAATTACTAGCTAACCGCTAGCTGCTAACTGCCGCCTCGTTAATATCAAATCTATCATAACAAACATTACCATGCTGTCATAAACGTGCGGTGCTGTTACGTGTACGCAAATTGATGTGCTTGATGTGAACGAGCATTTTGGGGGGCATGGTTAAAGTTGCGCATGCGCTATGAGCGCACATACGGGTACTTCTCAGGCATGCCGGGTAATCTGTGACGTTTCGCTCTCTCAAAAGTTGGGCCATTTTATCATCATGCGCGAATGAGCAACTCTCATAGGAATGAATGAGGCCCCGCCTCCCACGCTGTATCCAGTTCTTATTATACATCCATGGGTGTAGGGGGTGGATTGGAAATGGGCCTTTGTTTGAACTCTGGTTAAAGTGGCAGGAGCCCCCGGTGTAGCGTTCACTGGGACTCGGACAACCGCATTAGGGCCACGTGAGAAAAACAATTTGCATTGGACCAAAAATGTAAAACACATTTTAGTTCTGAATTTTATATCATTGTTCTGAGAAGAAAAGAAAAAAATTCTCATAATTCTTATTTTTATCTAGAAATTCTGACTTTTTTAAAAATTCTAATTTGAATGACTTTGTATACTGCAGGGTAGCTTGTGAATTTACTCCAGGTGGAACTAAAGTCTGATTTAACACTTGATTATATTTCTCATAATTAATCCAAATCTGTAAAGTAACTAAAGGTACTACCAGAGGTGGGAGAAGTATTCAGATCTTCTACTTGAGTAAAAGTAGAAGTACTCAGATATTGTACTTGAGTAAAAGTAGAAGTACTAAGATCTTGTACTTGAGTAAAAGTAGAAGTACTCAGATCATGTACTTGAGTAAAAGTAGAAGTACCAGAGTGTAGGAATACTCTGTTACAGTAAAAGTCCTGCATTCAAAATGTTCCTCAAGTAAAAGTAGAAAAGTATTATCATCAAAATATAGTTAAAGTAGCGACAGTAAAAGTAGTCATTGTGCAGATTGGTCCATTTCAGAATAATATATATGATATGTTTTATAATGATTGATCATTAAAGTGTTCTCAAAGCTGGTAAAGGTGCAGCTAGTTTGAATGACTTTGTATACTGCAGGGTAGCTTGTGAATATACTCCAGGTGGAACTAAAGTCTGATTTAACACTTGATTATATTTCACATCATTCATCCACATCTGTAAAGTAACTAAAGGTATTAATACATGTAGTGGAGGAAAAGTACATAATTTACCTCTGAATTGTAGTGGAGCAGAAGTACAAAGAAGCATACAATGGAAATACTCAAGTAAAGTACAAGTACCTCAAAATTGTACTTAAGTACTGTACTTGCGTAAATGTACTTAGTTACTTCCCACCTCTGGGTACTACATATATGTTGTCGATTAAAAGTGCAATATTTACTTCTGAATTGTAGTGGAGAATAAGTAGAAAGTAGCATTTTATAAAATGTTTTACTAAGTGACTTACAATAAAGGGAACTCGAAACTAAATACAAACAGGAATTCAGTTTTCTTTTGTTTTTAACCCTTTGGTATTAAAAGTTAACAACCTAAAATCCACTAAATGAATAGTTCTAAGTGAGAAAATGAACTGTTGTTTAGCTATAGCCTACTTCATCGAAGAAACTTGCATTTGCAGAAACAGGGATACAAAAAATTGTATTCTATTTATTTGAGTTGAAAACATGAAAAAGCGCACTTTTAAAGTGTCCAAACTGGCACATATAAGTGACAGACACCTTTAGTTTTAACCTGCCCAGAAGGTGACGTAATGCCATTGCTGACCTTCTCCTTCTCTGTGAAACTATTTCTGTCGTTGACATAGATACCCAGGACTATGTCCAAATTAAAAAAACAGCAGATGCTCGTGCCACAGGGGGTCAATACAGGGACTTGTCGAATGGATACTCCTTCTGTTGCTTTTCTCCGCACTTCTAATGGCTGAGAGCCGATTCACACGCCGGCTCAGGGCCAGGCTTTACAATCTGGTCTGATGTTGCAGTGGCAAGCAAACAAATGTATCATATCTGAATTGTGGTGATTTTAAATGTGTGATTTAATCAATTTTTAGACTCATGAGGATAGTTGTTTACAGTATATTCCTGATTGTGTGCTCATTATTCACTGTATTCATGCCCTTTCCTGCATCATTGCCACATTATTTTCATATTGAGTCATATAAAGCACATATATAACACAATATTTTGGGAATAATATAATTGTTAGTGCTATTTAAATGATGTGATGTGAAGAAATGCAGGAGTTTTCACCAGATGGTTTGATGAGCTCCATTTGGGAACACATATAACCTATAAATATCTTATAGTGGGCGCAATCACATAGAAAATAGAAAAATCACTTTAACTCTAGAGACATTTGGTTTGCTTGTACAAAATTGCACGTACTGCCTTAAAGGGCTAAAGATCACACTAGAAATGAATTTGAACTAATTGAAATGTCATCTTAAATATACAACCAATTTACATTGTTCTTTTCAGGAAAGTTATTTAAGATTTTGAGGGAATTATTAAGATATTATATACCCCTAAGATATTCCAAAAAGCCAAGCTGTATCAACAAACAAAAAACAACATTAGAGGTGTCCTAATTGAAAAGCATTATCAACAGTATTTAAGCCTTAATCTGAAGTATTTCTGTTGTATTCTCTGCCTAGTTCTCACATGATGATGAGTTGTATAATATACATAGTGCCGCATACTATGACACAATAAATACCCGCCATACTTTGTGCTCGTCGTGACTAACCTGCTGTAGGTTGTCCAGAGCTGGACTTCAGTCAGGATTCACAGGGGGAAACCATCTGGACCCAACGGTCATTTCTATACATTCAGCAGGCTTTTCTCACACCGCACAGGCTGAGGAACAGCTTGAAGACGCTAAAACCACATGACTACATCTTATACTTGTATTGTGTACAGTCATGCAAAAGTCCTCTCTTTAAAATAATGATTCATCAGGACAGCCACGACAAACAACAAAACTAAAAAACAGAGATATTGGATACAATATCCGTCTTTTTAATATTTTATATGGATGTTCTAGAGCAAAATAGTATAATATTGTTCTGACATAGATTTGAAGAGTGTGATTAATCTTGACAAACAAATTATAAGTCTCAACTGTGCACACATCTCTTGGCAGGTTAAGATAACAAAAAAAAGTACAATTACTTCAAGTACTTTGCCCCCTGTTATATTTTAACAGAGAAACCTGTTAGTTATTGTGCAGCAAAGTTTCAAACTAATACAGTACTTGCATAACATATACAGTAGGGTACTGCTGTCAATAGCAGAAAACGTCCTTGTCCATTATCACGTGCAAACAGTACTTTTGTGTTTCAGAAGTCCATCACAACAGTCTGTTTCCATAAATTCCTTAATCGGCATCACAGTCAGATGAAATAGTACTTTATGCACAAGTTTTTATGTTAATTTGGCGTCAAATCGCTGTTATTTCCACCCACAATAAAAAGCAAAAATGTCAAATAACTAGAATCCAACTTAAAATCTTCCCCCATTCCCATCTTTTCTGACTCTGACTTCTGCTTGAGTACAAATTTAAAAGTACTTAACTTAAGTATTTGTATCTCATGCGTTTCATAATATTGGGAATATTGTACTTTTTTCACAGCAACCATTTTTCTGCAGAATGAGTTTCTTTGTACTTCTACGTTCTTTGTACTTCTACGTTTTTTTAAATGCAGGACTTATACTTGTAATAAAGTATTTTCAGATTATTGCACTTCCTTTTTCTCTTGGTTGAACATTTCCCAAAAATGCCTTTAATAAAAACAGGTTAAAATGTGCTACTCTCTGTTGTTAGTATATCATCTGTGGACAAACATTTAAGAAAGCCCTTTTTCCCTAAATTAAATTAAGGTTTGATCCCGAAATGTGTCAGTTATCTCATCAAATCATGCCTACACCAAAATAAACCCGGAAATACAAGGAACTGTATCTAAAGGTGGGTATTTTTTGTCTAATATGGCATATTTATGTGTGATTGACAACCAGTTTGTTATCCATTGTACAAACACACAAAACCTCGTCCCATCTGCCACTCCAAACTGCTCCTAAAATGACTTTGCATCAACTGTCTGAAATAGATGTGATTTAGACAGACAAACAACAAGAATATCTGATGGGTTTTGTTAGATTGCCTCTGATTTTATGTAAGGTAATTTAATGAATTAAACACCCAAGATATAACATGTTAATAAGTTACTTTTAGAGGTTCTAGTAAGATTACTTTTATAAACCTTGACAGAGCCAGTTAAGACGTTTCCAGTATTTATGCTAGGCTAAGCTAACAGGAAGCTTTTTGGGCCTTGTTAAATCAACACAATCTCACGGCATTTCGTGTTATAGTCACAAAATTAATCTATTGATTCGTGTTCACCAACACGATTTTCCCATTTTTTTCGTGTCACACAGAACGATTTTAAAAGCAATGTAAATAATAACAAATTAGAAGGAAAAACAGATAATTTTTTTTTACAGATTTCAGTATTCTGACACAGAACGATTTTAGAAGCAATGTATTTCTATTGGTAGTATGTTTCGTGCCTGCACCAAATAATAACAAATTAGAAGGAAAAAGAGATGACAAAAAATACAGATTTCAGTATTCTGAGGCTCTGAGCCATTTCTTTTCCTTGCGGACAGCAAAAAAACTCAGACATTATACAATTTAAAATAAAAGGGATAGGGTTAGGCTTAGGGTAAGATATTGAGTAAGAAAATGTGTTTATGAACCACACAGCTTCTGGTCTTCCAAGACCCGACCGGACAAATAGACGTGGTGCAGGCACGAAACATACTACCAATAGAAATACATTGCTTTTAAAATCGTTCTGTGTGACACGAAAAAAATGCGAAAATCGTTTGGTGAACGCGAATCAATAGGTTAAATTAATTTCGTGACTAATAACACGAAATGCCGTGAGTTGTATATTTAGCATCATCTTAGCGTCATCTTTAGCTCTATCTTTATCCTTTTCTTTTGCTTAATCTGTATCTTTAGGGTACAGGCATACGAGTGGAGTTTATTGTCTCATTTAGCATTTCAGCCAAAAACCTTTTCCCCCTAAACAAACAATAAACAGCGTGTTAGCAGTGAAGTGTTGTTGGAGCTATTTTTATCTGAACTTTTGACAGCGCCCGGCTGTTTCCTCTGCTTCCAGTTGTTATTCGAAGCTAAGCTAATCTCTTCCTATCTTCAGCTTTTTGCACATCATTTCCAAAACTGTTCAATTAAAGTGTACTTCACAAGCTTCTGGATGATTGACTACAGTTCCTGAAAACACTGTGAAGCCAAGGCTAGATTAATATGACAACCCAGTCTCACGGCATTTCGTGTTATTAGTCACGAAATTAATTTAATCTATTGATTCGTGTTCACCAACACGATTTTCACATTTTTTTCGTGTCACACAGAACGATTTTAAAAGCAATGTATTTCTATTGGTAGTATGTTTCGTGCCTGCAACACGTCTTTTTGTCCGGTCGGGTCTTGGAAGACCAGAAGCTGTGTGGTTCATAAAAACATGTTCTTACTCAATATCTTACCCTAAGCCTAACCCTATCCCTTTTATTTTAAATTGTATAATGTCTGAGTTTTTTTGCCGTCCGCGAGGAAAAGAAATGGCTCAGAGCCTCAGAATACTGAAATCTGTATTTTATGTCATCTTTTTTTCCTTCTAATTTGTTATTATTTGGTGCAGGCACGAAACATACTACCAATATAAATACATTGCTTCTAAAATCGTTCTGTGTCAGAATACTTAAATCTGTATTTTTTTAAATGTCTTTTTCCTTCTAATTTGTTATTATTTACATTGCTTTTAAAATCGTTCTGTGTGACACGAAAAAAATGGCGAAATCGTGTTGGTGAACACGAATCAATAGATTCATTTCGTGACTATAACACGAAATGCCGTGAGACTGTGTTGCAACATGAACAACTGGGGGCAACAGGGGTGGACAAATGAACAGAAACCCCTCACACTGCAGCCAACCGTTTTTGTTAATGTTGGGCTTTTTTCAGTCAGTGCCGCTGAGTGTCTACTTGTGATCATCCTGCTTCTGTGTTAATGCAGTTTTACTGTGTTCGGGGTATGTCATCGTGATTTTTCTGAACTTTTCCCACTTGTGTAGTTACATAATGCTGCAGCGTTTGTGATTGATGCACCAGAATTTTGGGCAGAGAGCTCTGAAAAGTCACAATAACAGAGGCAGCTACACAGAAATATGAGTCACGTTGAGCTATCAGAGTGTCAGCTTTAATATAGTTCTGAGAATCACGATTTGTTATGGTTTCATCTTGTATTAAACCACAAAGTCTAAACTGGTGCTGCATCAATCACAAATAATGTGACTATAACCTCTGAGTTAAACCAGCATATCTGAGATAATTAACAAAAAAACACTAAATGGGAATTTACTGCAGAGCTGAAGTCTTGTACCCTTTCCTTCCAAAATTAGCGCAAGAATGCAGTTTTTTTAAACACCATAACACCTGCTAAAAATAGGCGATAAACTCCTTTTCCATTGCCAGAAGACAAGTGTGTCTTTCTGTGTTTTTCAGGTTTTACAAATGCACCATAAATCAGGGTAATGAACAGTTATTTTGTATCTGTTAGTTAGTCTCTCTTTCAAACTCTCAAACCATGTGATTCTTTGTCAATTTATTGGGTAAATTAGTCCTCTTTCTAAGCTGAAGGACTTATCTTCAAGAAACCTATGAGCCCATATTGTGCTAAACGCAAGCTACATTGATACTTTTGCATGACCCTTCGTTGAGAAACTCATCTGTCAATTAAATCCCCTAAACGAGACACATTTGTGTTTGAATAAAGTGTGTTTGACAACAATCAGCAATCTAAAATTATTGTTTCTGCCAATGGAGTCTGGTTGCTTTGAGAAGAGCATTTCAAACATGTTCCTTTTCACATTTAACTCTATGAATTAAAGGGTGGAAATATAAATAAAGATGGATTTATCTTGTCATTCTAGTGTGTTTAACGACAATCATGGAGGTTTAATTACTGTTTCTGTCAATTGACTCTGGTTGCATTGAGGAGAGCATGTTAATTGTATGTTTTGAACGTTAATACAATACAATAATTATCCAAATCCCTGTTGATTTCATAGCATTGCGTCAGGAAAGGGGCGAAATGTCCATGTTGTTGTCTTTTCCCCACCAACTCTGATCGGAGCCCTAAAAATTGTCCCAGAAAAATAACGAATGCAAACTAGACTTTTCCCGTTTAAGACCAGTAGGTGAGGTAAAATGATGTTATCTCTCCATTTCTTATTGTGCAGTTCCTCAACTGACTCCGCCTCTAGTTCCTGTTGCAGCACCTGTTCAGCTGTCACCTGTTTACCCTGAACACCTCGTGGTCTGCAGTGTGTGTGCATAGATGTCTAATTTCACGACTTGTTAACACCCACAGGTTACTTCTACCTTCAAAGAAGTGATGTGCAAACAGACTCAGAGAATCCTTTGAGTAGTTACCTGCAAATGTGTAAACTTAACATGACTTTTAAACGTTAATAGTTGACTTTTACGTTGGCATTTTGGACTATTTTATTGTCTTTTTTCTTTTTAAGTCTTCAGTATATTGTATGCTGCACTCTAAGCGGGGTCTGGGACTTCAGATTTCCATTGCCAACAACAACAACGCTGTGGCTATTGTGCATATGATAATAATCCTTTGACATTAAAAGTATTGAACGTTTCAAACCCTTTCAAGTTTTGAACGTTTTCGCATAACATGCCGTCAGTTTCTCCATGAAACTCATATATAGTACATGCACGTTCAACCTGTGAAACTCCTCTTCAGTGCATTACTATATAAGTATAAGTGCGCATTTCTACAAATACATTCCTGGTTTGTTTCTTTCGTTGTTCGCACTAAGAAATGTTCTTTCATTTTTGCACATCATTGCTTCCAAACATAGCAACCCTTCCTCAAACTGATATTTGAGTTGTCTTGTCCTACTGTTTACTGGGATTATAGCACCACAAACATCTAGCAGTCTTGTCTCTGCTGTGAGGCCGGCTCTCTGGCAGTCTAGACACATTGTTCTGTGCTGAAATCTGCTGTATCGAGAGTTTTAAACGGAGCTGCGTCTCGTAAACATCCTGAATGGAGATAAGAGGTGCAGGCCTGTAGTTATGGAGCTGATGCTCGAGCATTGACGTGGACTACAAACACATCCCGTGGACCCCGGCTCCACGTAGTGAGGACAGTTCCTGCTCTGCTGCATGTAGGGATTCGATATCATCAGCTCCTGAGGGATGGAGCCCCGCAGCTTCTCCTTGCTCCTGTACCACAAGCAGGAGCATATTGTCTGGAAGTGCAGCACCTCGGTGTAGACGCCTTTCAAATCCTTCGCTTTGGTGGCATCTTCTGCTAAAGAGGTGGAGGCCGAGAGGGGGAGCAGTCGAGCCACCTCTCCTCGGGGTTTACCGACAGGAACGAGCGCGCGTTGCCTGGCGTCCCGTCGCTCGTCCTCCGTGTTCATGGTGAGGAAGCGAAGCACCACCAGGTTCAGGAAGGCTCCGATCACCGTGAGCCCCATGAGGATGTAGACGAAGCAGAAGGCCACGTAGCGAGGGTCGTTCTGCAGCGCGTCATCCCTCTGCAGCGCCACGTAGTCCCCGAAGCCGATGGTGGTGAGCGTGATGAAGCAGAAGTAGAAGGCGTGCAGGAAGCTCCACCCCTCGCAGTGGGAGAAGGCCACGGCCCCGACACACAGCGTGCTGAGGCAGGAGAAGAAGCCCACGGTCACCATGTTGGCCATGGACACGGCCGTTTGGCGCAGGCCCAGGCACTTCTTGGCCTGGTGCAGCAGGTACCTGACGAAGGTGTTGATCCGCTCCCCCAGGCTCTGGAACATCACTAGAGTGAGCGGGATCCCCAGGAGGGCATAGAACATGCAGAACACTTTCCCCGAGTCGCTGCTCGGAGCCGCGTGGCCGTAACCTGAGGAGACATCGCAGGAGACACGTCAGACTGAGAGTTACAAGAAGCTATCTGACGTAGTGTGGGAAGGACTGGAGATTAAGCTTTGGCTGGTTGAAATGATATCAGAAAAGCAGTTTTGTGCACAAACTTATCTCGTGCCCTCATTGGTCATGTGCACGTTCGTGTGTGTTGGAGGAGGGGCTCTATAAGGAAGTGGCAGATTTTCTCCGGTTGTGTATTTTCAAATTCTAGCGATCTCGAGCCGGTTTCTCCAACTTACCTATCCCTACCTTTAATTAGGGCACATAATATGTAAACTATTGAAAAAATGTAAGAATAAAAAAGGAGGATAGATCCCAGGTTACACGTCAGACTGAGAGTTACAAGATGATATCTGACGAGATAGGATGAGGCAAGGACTAGACATTTAGGTTTTGAAAGTTGGAATGATATCAACAAAGCAGTTTTGAAATAGTACAAATTTACTTTTACATGTAAAATTGACACTTTGATGAGTAGAAACATAATATGTAAACTATTGAAAAAAATCTAAGAATAAAAAGAAAACAGATTTTTCCATTAAAATTTTATAGAAAATAGAAAAAGCCCTTTAAAAGAGGTCTATCCTACTTGTCCAGTGAAGCTGCATTAATTATTATTGATTAGGTCATTTTGGTCACAGGACATAGAAATCATTGAAAAAAAATCCAGTATCTTAAAAATATAATAAAATATGAAAAACAAGGACATGAAAAAAATTCAAATATAAATAAATCTGTTTAAAAAAATATATATATATAAATATTATATAAAAATAAAGAATAACATTTAATTCAGCAAGGAAGCACTGTTACTTACTTTATGCACGTTGTATCGTCTATATAGGTTTTTACGATTCCCTACATCACTTTAAGAATTCCTATGTATTTATTTTATTATCCTACAAAGTTTCTCCTTCTTGTTTTGTACTTGTTTACTGTCTTTGCCTCTAAACATCGCCTAATGGCACCTCAGCGTAGCCCCTCTCTCATGCTCTTAATGTGTAAATAAATGAACTTCCGCTCACCTATGGTTGTGATCACAGTGATGGCGAAGTAAAAAGACCCCGCAAACTTCCACTGCACCCCGGCTTTGTGCGGTTTGAGCTGCACGACGACGTGCTCCAGCTCCTCGAAGTCCCCTTTGGATAAGTTGTATTTACGCATGAGTTCGTGCTTCCTGGCGTCCAGCTTCCTCTTGTGGCTTTTCTCCTGCTTCGACTCCAGGGTCTCAAACACGGCCGCCCCCACCACCAGGTAGGTGAGGATGCTGATGATGAGGGCGAGGGTCCGGGCGTTTTGTCTCTTCATGGTAAGTAAATAAAAATAAAAATGGAGAGACACTTCTTTTTTGTTTCCCCTGCGTCCTTCCTGCTCCTCCTCGCGTATCCAACAGAGGGGTTTGTGACTTTTGGAGCCGGAGCTGTTCTCAGCACCACCCCCACATCACAGTTGGGCTGATTCTGTATTTGGAGTATTTGTCACAGACTTATATTTAGATCTGCCAGTGGTGAAAGAAGTACTCAGATATATAACTTCAGAACAAAAGTATGCAAATATTGACTTAAATCGACAAAAGTGAAAGTAGTAATTATGCAGTTTGACAGTGGTGGACAAAGGAGATATTTGACTTGAGAAAAAGTATGAAAAATGGCTTTAAATATATACTTAAATCACAGAAGGTAAAAGTCGTCATGCATATTGGCAGTGGTGGAAGAAGTATTCAGATGATTTACCTTTAAAAAAAGAGTAAAAAATCATACAAATATTCACATAAAATGGTAAAAAACTTAAAATAAAACAATGCTGCATTGACTTTGGATCACTGGGTCACATGATATGGCAGCTATTGCAGATTTCTTCATTAGAATATTCATATATATCTGTTCAAAATATACTTAAATGACCAAAAGTGAAAGTAGTCAGTATGCATAATGGCAGTGGTGGAAGAAGTACTCAGATTCTTTACTAAAGTAAAAGTACATATCACATGGTCTTTTAAAGTAGGGGAGTATTTGTAAAATTAGACAGTATGAGCACAATGTACGGTGGCTGACCAAAGGAAGAAACATCTACAGCAACTTGAGGAAACATCCAACATTTAGAAATCATTCACTAACTTGAGGAAACATGCGCAGCGTTTATTACTAAAAGCTGCATAAACCAAACGCTGCAAGAAGCTGAAAACACAACGAAAACCAGGGGACACTAAAAAGTGACGCACACTTCACATCGTGTGATATTTTATTTTTCTGCTTCATTTATGACCTGTGAACAAGAAGGCACTCATCTCGTTTCTTTCTCCCATGTGACTTTTAAAAAAATATTAAACTTAGTTATGATTTGTTATCCTTTATTGACAATTTAATTTTGCAAAGTAGTTCGAACGACGTGTTCTTAAACTAGTTTCCTCTCTCGGTAGCTTTGTTTTAGTTTACCTTCCTCCAGTGTGAAATCATTTACCTAACACTGAAGTACTTCTACTTTAATTAAAACATCTGAGTACTTCCAACACAAACACATCTTTCCTACCTGCGGCTTTCCATCCGTAAGAGCTGTCACACTCCTCAGCAGCATTAAGGACTCCCTGACGTTGTTAAATATATCTGTGTGTGTACGATAACATATTTGCCCTGTGGTTATTTAAACAGACCGGCTCCACTGGCTGCACCAGTCGTCTAGCAACCTGCTGACAACCATCGCTTTCCTGAGTAAATATTTAAAAAAGAGGCACATCCTTTCCAGGGTGAGCAGGCTGCAGGATTCAACAGGGTGATTATTTGTTTTAAAGACGGGGAAAAAACAAAGATAATACATGTTAGTTTAATGGCGTGGAAGAGGAGTTGAGAGTTAAAGGGGCCTCTTTTTTAGGATCATATTAGTATTTAGTGTCTCTACTTTAAAGAGTCCTCTCCTGCTGATGTTCAGGTGTATATCAGTATGTAGTGTCTCTACTTTAAAGAGTCCTCTCCTGCTGATGTTCAGGTGTATATCAGAATGTAGTGTCTCTACTTTAAAGAGTCCTCTCCTGCTGATGTTCATGTGTATATCAGTATGTAGTGTCTCTACTTTAAAGAGTCCTCTCCTGCTGATGTTCAGGTGTATATCAGTATGTAGTGTCTCTACTTTAAAGAGTCCTCTCCTGCTGATGTTCAGGTGTATATCAGTATGTAGTATCTCTACTTTAAAGAGTCCTCTCCTGCTGATGTTCAGGTGTATATCAGTATGTAGTGTCTCTACTGTGACATGTCTCCATGCTTTAATGTTCAAAAAGCTCTTTATTTTTCTCATACTGCCTGTGCTGCAGCACCTCTTTTCACCCTCTGTCTGAAACCAGAGCCCAGTCTGCTCTGATTGGTTAGCTGGCCTGCTCTGTTGTGATTGGTCAACCGCATAGAGATGTCCCGCCCATTAGCCTATCACGTACAATGTGTTGGAGCGCTAGCCGATAAAAGCGCAGAGTGTTACAGAGTGATGTCACTATGTTCTTGAAATCCAATGGAGGCGTATCAGGCATATAATGGATTCATTGATAGCAGATAATGAAATGCCTTCAACTTTGATCGTTTTTTAGTAATTTTATAAAGCAAAAATCTATATTTGGATTAAAAAAATATCAATTTAAGATATATTAAGTTTACAGTCATAAAGAGTAAAACAAAAATCACATTTAAGGAGCTGGAATCAGAGGATTATGACTTAAAAAAAAAGAATGAAAATTACTCAAAATACTTTTTAAATTTTAATTTAATAGTTGACAACAATTGGATTAATCTTTACAGTTTCTTTTTTCGACTTTGGTTTGGACAACACAACTTAGAAACATTACGTATTAATCCAAAAATCATCAATACATGAACACAAATAATTGTTAGCTGCGGTTAGCTGCAAAATCACTGATTGCATTAATGGAAAATTCATTAAATAAATCTAAATTAACCACATCAGTTTATTATATAACAGGAAATTACGACGCTAATTTGTTCGTTTATGATAACGGAAGTAATTTGTTCGTACAGTATATCAGGAACACATTAGATTAATGCCAATGTTTTAATGACTAAAGCACATTGGAGATGTTTGAGTGCTAAAAAAAAACATGTTATCAAAGTTAAACCAATAAAATAAAACTCATCTTACACGGATCAGCTATTGACTTCTTGTTTATTTAATCAGGTGAGTCTGCATACAGAGGTGGAAGAAGTACTAGTGCCAAAAACATGTTTTTTTACTGAAGGAAAAGTATTACTACATTTAAAAAATAGCTATACTTATATAAATCTTACTTTAGCATGTATTGACATCAAAATATACTAATGTGCTTAATGGCCTATTTCAAAATCATATATATATTAAGTGAGTGGAACATGATTAGTGATGCATTAACGTGTTCATCACAGCTCGTGGAAGTGAGCCAATTTAATTTACTTCATAAACTGATGATGGATATCTTAACCTATAATTATGAGTCAATATTTATTTACCTATTACCAGCTCCATTAAATACAGGGTTGCAAGATAAATATTTTGTAATCACAAATTACAACAACTTAATATTGTGTGCAATTCACCTTAAAAAATAGAACACAAGTACTCAAGTAAAGTACGTCTTAATTGTACTTTACTTGAGTACTTGTACTTTTCCACCCCTGTGTGCAGATGTGTTCACACTCTGATTAGAAGCTGAACCTTTGTGAGGTATTTCTGAGATGTTTTCGGGTCTCTGAGGTTTTCTACAAGGACTCGAACTCGTCGATCCTCTGCTTGGTGTTTCCCAGGCGGATCTGACGCAGCGTCTTGTATTTGTCGCGGCCGACTCTCATGTTCTCTGCGTGAAGAAGATCGTTCTGAGACTTCTTGTTGTCGTCGCGGGCTTCTGCCAGCTCGGAGCTCAGGGCCTGAGGAGGGAAACACAGATGGTTACAGCAAATACACTTCAGTTATATTCTGAGAGTTGTTATTATAGAGTGGAGCAGGAATTATGTATTTTTGTACGACAATCCTGAAGGTAGCATCTCCCTGGTTCCCTCCAGAAAAGTTCAAGAGGATTTTTGCATTGGATTTTGGATTATTGCAGAAATTAATTTCAACCTTTATGATACGCAGGATAATCTCCTAATATAAACACCACTTTATGTTTTTTTAAGCGTTAATGAAACAACCAGAAGTAATAAGATAACTTTAGTCTATAGAGTTGTGCAGAAATGAGTCCTATTACCCGGAAATGAGTCAGCGTTTTACCAGTTCTGGTTCTCTCGTCTGGAAGTCAATGGTTTTTGAACATACTTTTGGTTGGATATCTGAAATAAGGTCTGTGTTAACACACGCTGAAGAGATTTTAACGTTTTGTTTTACGACATAAAATGGCGGCTGCTAAGTGTCGAAATGAGACGACTAAACGTCATCACGCCCAACATTAGCCGCCTTTAGCTTAGCGGTGGTGACGTGGAGTCATGTGACCGTGCTGTAGTTTCTTTATAGCCCAACAATAGCCACCTTTAGCTTAGCGGTGGTGACGTGAAGTCATGTGACCGTGCTGTAGTTCCTTTATAGCCCAACAATAGCCACCTTTAGCTTAGCGGTGGTGACGTGAAGTCATGTGACCGTGCTGTAGTTCCTTCATAGCCCAACAATAGCCACCTTTAGCTTAGCGGTGGTGACGTGAAGTCATGTGACCGTGCTGTAGTTCCTTTATAGCCCAACAATAGCCACCTTTAGCTTAGCGGTGGTGACGTGGAGTCATGTGACCGTGCTGTAGTTCCTTTAAAGCCCAACATTAGCCGCCTTTAGCTTAGCGGTGGTGATGTGGAGTCATGTGATCGTGCTGTAGTTCCTTTATAGCCCAACATTAGCCACCTTTAGCTTAGCGGTGGTGACGTGAAGTCATGTGACCGTGCTGTAGTTCCTTTATAGCCCAATATTAGCCACCTTTAGCTTAGCGGTGGTGACGTGAAGTCATGTGACCGTGCTGTAGTTCCTTTATAGCCCAACATTAGCCACCTTTAGCTTAGCGGTGGTGACGTGAAGTCATGTGACCGTGCTGTAGTTTCTTTATAGCCCAACATTAGCCGCCTTTAGCTTAGCAGTTAGCTTTTAACTTCAACAAGTGGTGTTATTATGTGGAAATTATCATGCTGAAAAAAACATGTGTTTGCCACAGAGATTCTTTTCTGCAATACTCCGAAATCCAATGGAAAACTCCCATTGATTCTGGCTGAAGGCGGCTAATGTCCAGCGTGATAATAATAATAATAATAAATTACATTTGTATAGCGCCTTTCAAGGTACCCAAGGCCGCTTTACATGGTGAACAAACAAACAAACCAACAAACAAACAAACAAACCAACAAACAAGAGGATAAAATAATAAAGTAAAAAGTAAATGAAGGATCCGAAGCACTGACCTGCAGCTGTTTCTGCAGCCGCTGGTTCTTCTCGGCCTCGGTGAGCCTCTCCTCCTCCTCCCGGTGGTTGGAGATCTCCTGCGTCTGCAGCTCGGCGCTGTAGGTGCTGTTCTCCTCGCTGTTGTTCTCCTCGTGGTCGCTCTCACTGTCCGAGGAGGAGGAGGATGAAGAGGAGGAAGCAGGAGCCTCAGCAGGAGCCTCAGCAGGAGCCTCGACTTCAGGAGAGGATGAGTGAGAGGAGCTCATCACGTTGTGCAGCTCCTCCTTCGTCTTCTCCAGATTCTCCTCCATATCCCGAGCCTACGACCAGGAGGAGAGGGTTAGTTTAATCTGCATTATTTATAAGTGCTGGTATGACTGTGACCAGTGTATGGACAGTAGCAGGCAGAGCTAGATATCTGGTCTTACCATGACAACTTGGCTTTGTGTCTTTTAATAGACGTGTGATTGTATGTTGGTTTGAAATGTGTTACATTACTTTGTAGCAGAGGGTTATCAAGGCATTGCAGTCAGCAAATATACACAGTAGAAAGATATAGATACACAATATAAAGACACACTTTAGAAGACCAGAGTACTATTACTAACTATAAACATAGGATACTATATTTAAAGGGGACCTATCATGCAAAATGCACTTTTGTACGTCTTTTATACATGAATATGTGTCCCCGGTGTTCCAGGGAACTCACCAAGTGTCAGAAAACACAACCCTCTCTATTTTCCTCCATACCCAAATCTCTAAAAAAGGGGCTGCAACGGATCTGATAAAAACTGATCCAGATTTGAACACTGTCCTAACATCAGGACGGTGGCGCTACGGCTATTGGGCCAACTCCACCAATCAGGAGGAGACAGCCACGGCCATTGCCGTTCAAAAGCGCTGGAGACGCTGTAGTACATATGCCAGGCCAGTAGATGGTGCTGTTCTCACAGAATCAGCCCTTGCAAAAACAGAGCTAAAACATTTCAAATTGAGCAAAATGAGGCATGGCTAAAATGCATGATCTGTTTGGTATTTTGAAAAAAAAAAAGTATAAATATGCCTTATATAGGTATGGTCCTACACTATATTATTCAAATATAGCATGATAGGTCCACTTTAAATATATATAATATACTCTATACAAGTGTACAAAGAGTAATGTATTGGAAACAAGTAACATAAGTGGTGAAATCCAAAGTAGTGGGAAACATAACTAATGCAATAAAC